CTTACAAGAGTCTTCTCTCAGAGATGGAGAAACATACAGGGTCAGAAGAGTGGCTAGCAGCCATTTGCTTTGCTGCAAGCCCCGCCCCTCTACTTCAACACCACCTTGGGTGCACGCTGCTCCCAAGGGATCAGGGACAGGATCTGCAGTGCATACATGTTTTAAAATATGCACAGGACCCTCAATGACTCCTCTTGAGTTTAATCCAATTCTGAAAGGCTAACAGAACTGCAGAAAGTGAGGGAGAGTTGGAGGAAGTGACTCCCTTGGAAAGTGGCTGAGGAATCATTTTTAACTATCCTGCAGACAAGAAAGATGAAACAGAGCCCTTCGGCATTTCCTGAAGTCAGAGAGAGGGACAAAGATAAGTCACGATTTAAACCATGTTGCCTTCTAAATGTTTATGTTTTCACTTATAGTTCTGGGCTGCTCTCAACCTTGGTCAGAGAAGCCTCTCTTAGCGGTGGGCAGCAGTCAGTGAAGAGACTCATAACTGGTCAAAGTGCTGAGAATAAGAGATTAAGCGCTCAGCCCTAAAAGGGACATCTTTATCACTCCCCCACCCCAAGAGCTCAGGGAATGTCACAGGGAGGAGGCAGAGAGAATGTAAGAGGCAGACTGTGGGGAGGCGTGCCGTGAAACGCTGTCTTCTGGACATGAGATAGCTGTTGTGCTCATGAACTCAGGGCAGCTGTGTTACCTGCTCAACATTAAGTGAGTCAAAATTCTAGCATAGACCGGGCCGTGCTCATTATTCCCCAGGCCTTAATGAGGGGCTATCGGTACTTTTTGATAGCTGCTGGGGGAGAATCATTCTTCTTCAGGCTGTTCCCATTGCTAGGTTTCTGTGCTCCAATGGATGGCCTCACATCCATGCACATGAAGGCAGCGCTAACTGTCCTTAGTGCGTTATTGGGGGGGCGGGGAGAACATGAAGTTCAGAGGGGACGTGTTGAGGGGACAGGGTGGAGTTGAAGGATGGAAATTGGAGGCCATGTTGAATGTACCAAATGCTGCCCTGTGGTTTTGGGTCCTCACTAAGCCTTTTGTGACAGAAATGTTCTGTCTGGGTCAAATCATCAGGTCAGCATTGTTCTCAGACACAGACATTTAGGGGTGTCCAGAGTGAGCAAGAAGGAAGGCTGAGAAGAGGTGCATGCTTTTAGGTACCCTACCCAAAATGTTGTAAAATAACAGAAAGGTGGTTACCTGCTCCAACAAGCATTCCCGTTCATCCATGAGCTTTTTCAACCTAACGTCTGAAGAAATCAGAAAGACACAGGTGAATCCGTATTCTGCCCTTTCAGCATGTCACCGACAGAATAACGTGCAGATCGGTTAGTGGATGTGAGTGATGAAGGTGGTTAAACACGTACCACGATGAATGAGGAGGCCAGACAGGATGGGGAGGAGCTCAGCCAAGGGGTGGTGCCAGCCTCCCGACATGCTTCTCATCAGGACAGCCTCCGGCTCATGCAAACAGGCTAATCTTCTACTTAGGCTAGCATGCAAGAACGCTAGGGAGACGCGCTGCAACACAAGATCTCACAGGCTTCACGGTTTAGCAATGTGCAGTGTGGTCGCTCATGAGCACCCAAGTGTCGAGGAGAGCTCTTTCCGAGGTTACACTCCACATCTAGTCAGCTTTCTCATTTCTCGCACAGACTTCACCGACATCAGAGTTTTAACTCTGTTTACAAACCACAAGCCCAGTGACAACATGTCCACTAAGCCAGTTATAATATGTTGTTACTCTTCTGAAAAAAGCACAGTACCGGCTTTGGTTCTTGTAATTCTTCCCATCCTGGACATGGAAGGATGTGTGTGTGTGTGTGCGTGTGTGTGTGTGTGTGTCTGTCTGTCTGTCTGTCTGTCTGTCAGTTTCCCAAATCTCTCTAGGAGAGTACTAAAGACTCTCCAGTCTACAGGAAGACCTGAGTACAAGTGAGGATTTTCACACTTAAAGGCAAAACTCAGGATTCTTGGGACTGACAGAGATGCTGGATGCCTATGGGGATACTGTTACCACTTGTGTTGAGCCCAGGGTCCCCATGAGCAGCCATCTTGTGTTTTCCAGTATGATGGTTAGGTGACTCCTAATACCTAAGGGCTCACAGCCCAGCCTGGGGTGTCCCTGACCTTAGGTGACTCACTCCTAATGCCTAAGGGCTCACAGCCCAGCCTGGGGTGTCCCTGACCGCTGCTTTCTATGGCCTTTTCAGATCTAGACTTAAACCTCTAAGTGGAACCCTTAAAACCTGGCCTAGACCTCCCATTCCCAACCTGATCTTGTTCTCAACTGTCAGTAATTAACTTGGATGAGCCATGTGTGAAAACCCATGCACATAAAGCTCATCTTTGTTTTCATTTCAGACCATCCAGACACATCCTAATCCAAGTTACTGGCGTTTGCCAACTATCTTCCAAAAACCTCTTAAGCTGTTACCTGGAAAGGCAGAATATAGCAAAATAAAAGCCAACAGAAAATCTCAATAATAGTAATAATAATAGTTTTCTGAGATAGAGAGACGGCTCAGCTGTTAAAGGCTAGGCTTACAACTAAAATGTCAAGAATTAATGCAGTTTTCTGACCCTTTGGTGTTCTACTTTAATTTACAGCCCAGTGGCTTCTGCTACGTGTTTTATTCTTTCTTTTCCAAAATTTACCCAATAGTGAAGCAATCTTCCCCTTATGTATTTCAGCCTCACAAAAACAAACAAACAAACAAACAAAAACTTTAGTTGTGATGAGCATAGACTTAAAGCTCATCTATCAATTACATAATATTGTTTTTTTTTTCTCTTGGCTTGAAATAACCTAGAAAAGCAGTAAAAAATGAATGGTAAGATGTAATGACAGAGGCAGTGGAGAACAGTGCGGGTGGTCTGAACTTCCGTTTTACGGAAGAGACCATGAAAAACAGATACTCGGAGACCAGAAAGAAGGACTGGAGAGGCAAACACAGAGTCAGGTGTCAAGAAAATGGAAAAACAAGAGTCAGGTAGTGGAATATGAGCCTGTAATGCCAGCTCTAGGGAGCTACGGCAGGAGGGTGGCTGAGTTTGAGGCCAGTCTGAGACCCTTAAAAAAAAAAAAAAAAAAAGGAAAAGTGAAAGTATTTGATGTAGACAGAGCAGCATCTACTTTGCTGTGGAGAGTGGGGTGCACTGGTATGCTCTGTGCGGAATCCCCTACCTTGACGCTGTAAACAGCAGGCTCACTGATCCGTAACACTCGATGCCAAAACAGGCATAAACTACTCACTAAAGACAACGATTGTAATCTCCAGAGATGAGGCGCCAAAAAGAATTCACATTATCCTGAACTTGAGGCTTTCTTTTATACTCATGTTAAAATTAGTTGGCTGGCTATTAAAGTTATCTTTATATCATTAAAGGGCTTATTATTATTATTATTATTATTATTATTATTATTATTATTGTTTTGGCCAGGAGGTGGTGGCACACACCTTTAACCCCAGCACTTGGGAGGCAGAGGCACGCAGATCTCTGTGAGTTCCAGCCCAGCCTGGTCTACAAAGCGAGTTCCAGGACAGCCAGGACTGTTACACAGAGAAACCCTGTCTTGACAAAACAAAATGAAATTAAAATTTTAGCAAAATTTCTGCTGTTTTGAGACTCACAAAATGGGAAAAAAAAGAGACTTCTAGAAAATTCCTGAGGTAGCCAAACAAGTGCTGGAATTCTCCAAGTTCCTGGTTTCTTTGTCATCTTGAGGTCTGGGAACCTTAGCGACTCTACCCTAGGGTCACTCAAGGCCAGTGAACCCCATAACTCCAAATGGTGGGACTCACATCTTCAGTAGGCAAAAGGAAGCCTTCCCAGGTCTAGTGGTTTGTTCATGATAAATGTCTGCAATGTGTACTCTGCACTGTGTGGGGTACTTTCAGCCATCATACGCCCCTCCCCATTACCCAGTGGAGTTGTCTCCTTTCCTTATGATCAAATGTGATGATGGGGGCGCAGGAATGCACTGGCTGCCCCTTTCTCCTAGCCCCTTCCCGATACCAACTCTGATGGAACCTAGCAGTGTCAGCTTCCACCTTCCCTGAGGCTAAAAGATGGCTGTTCAACTGTGTCTCTCCTCTAGTTACAGCATCCAAAAGGTCTGCATGGGTGAGGGACAACCCTCCTTCAGCCACTGGACTTTACAGCCAAGAAATGTGTAAAGGGGCAAGAAGTGTGTAAGGGGGCAGTGGAAGTGGCCAAGGTGGTGGGTGAAATGCCTCTTCTCCCTGGAAAACAGTGTTCCAAGTATGACCACCACATGGCCCCAGCACAGGAAACACCCCTCCCGTCTTTCAGAGGCAGGCCATGGGGAACACATTTTACTGTGTGCCCCTTGGCATAGAGACCATGTGACATGCTGCACAGTGTGACCTCTTCAGAAGGGAGCAACTAGTAGAAAACAAGGTCCTCAGGTAGGCTTCTAACCCCCCAGAGGTGGCCTTCAAGGGTCTGAGTGAGAGCAGACATTTGAAGTATGAATGGGAGCTTGACCGGAGCTGGGGCTCCGACTGCAGCCTTCTGGCCCTGCAGCAGAGCCCTGGGGTACAGCCTGCAGCCTGATTTGTTTGACGTTCATGGCACAGGACAGCAGACACCAGCTCACCTGTCCCATTTCTCAAGACACGTGTGCACACGTGGCCAGTGTTTCCTCATCACTTTATCCTCTTCCACAAACAGTCCTAGGCACTGGGACATTTTAGCAGAGCAAGTGGAGACTTTCCCTAATTTAAGGGGGGCGGGGCACATGACATGTCCATAGCGTACTGCAGATGGGCTGCAGGGCTGCTCCCTCGACTTCTGTGGGCTCCCATACCAGTGCCCGGGCAGCCTCAACATGGGGTTCACTTGTCAATGATGAAGGCACTGAAAACTGGTCTTTCTGGAACCCCTGAGGGAGTTCAAAGCCAAAAGTGACTTCATGTGGGCACTACAGAGGTCAAGGGGCTCAAAGACCAGAACTACAGGCTTGTAAAATTATAAAATGTTTTTATTTCAATTCTACGACACTTTAGTTTGCCTCAAACTCACTGAGGTTTTGGTCTTTTTGACCCTCTCTACCTTGTAACAGTAATATGAATTCACATGATCCCATAACACGTCAACAGTAGTCATACAGTACACAGCCTTGTGATTTTATATCCATCATTACTTTTAAATTCAACTTTACAATTATTTTCTAAAAGCTTCTTTATATAGAAAATACATATTTCCTTCAGGCAGATAAAATAATAACTTTCCAATAAGAAAATACTGAGAAACAACAAATAAAAATATTTATGCCAAACATAAAATGTTGGATTATAATTGAATGAGTCCTTTGCATAAGAACAAAGAACTTCTGTATTTTTTTTTAATAATAAGTAGACATTCAGACAGGAAGATAACTTTAAAGTTAAAAAAAATTTAATGACTGTTTCTCCTAAACACTAAAGTAGGAAATGTAATTTCAGCTTGTCATTAACAGAAAAGAATAAAAATATAATATTCGTATAAAATGAATTTTATATATCACCCGTGTGACGTGAAATAAAGATCTTTGATAAAATTAATTTGGGTACCATTGGCAATAAGATCCAAGAGCGTTGGTGCAAAATACAGCACTTATGTGAGGTAAAGGCACGCAGTTCCCTGTGTCTTCTGACACCTGTTTGAATCCCTACAGTGATTACTCTCTACCCTGAGGTACAGCTCCTCTCCCCCAGTGACTTGTATGCTACCTATCAATCTAGCTCCTTTAAATACAGCTTATGATGTACATATTAAGATCAAATATGAAAATACATCTATTTTAATAAGACATAGTAGTTTGATGCTTCACTGCTCACAGTGCAGAAATCTAAGAATGATGTTTGGTCACTTCCACTAGATGCTGATACATTTGGTCAAGAACATCCACATTCATCTCGGTCTAAAGCAATGGTAAGTTTGGACCTTAAGGCTGGAATGCAGACATGACAGGGACAGGGTGTCACCTGATGCTCATGGAATGTCCTCAGCTATAACCGAAACTGAACACAATGGTGTCTAGGTGATCAATGGTTGAATACAAATCTACAAGTAACAGTCTATAACTTAAAGTAGTTGATACTTGGTGATTGAAGGACACGTGGTACATCCACAGAAACGGGAACATTCATGAACCTTGGCAGTGGAGCTGAAGGAGGAACTCTTGAGGCTTAGTGTGTTGAGTCCTGGGCCCGCTGTCTCCCCCGCCCACCCGCCGCCTGCCTCTGCCTCCTCACGACATGGTGCAATCCTCCTTATTCTTGCTATTCTCAATCTCCCCTCTTGTCTGCACGCCACCTTCTGAACTGAAGCCCCCCAGCTCCCCTGACAGGTCCCTGTTGTCTACACTGCAGCCATCCACAGCCTTCTCAACCGTCTGGCCTGGATGTTGGGACAGCACATGCCCCTCTTTACTTCCTCTCTTAGCATCCTTTCGGGGACCTTTCTTTCCCATCGGGGAAATGTCCCCTTCTTCACACTGGGGACTGTTTTGATCCAAGACATCCGTGTGGCCATCAGCAGGACCATCTGTGACATGTTCTTCAACTTCCTCACCCTCAGCACTGGTGCCTGATGACTGCGCTGTGTCCGCCTCAGACATCAGCTTGTCTCTGTCGACTGTTGCTTTCCCTGCCTGGGTTTTTACATCATCTTCCTCCTCTTGGTTCTGTTTTCCATTCGACTCACTTTTAGGATCTTCTGGGCAATCGACACGTTCACTGCTTCCTGCCGTGATTTTTTGTGCGGGGTTTTCTGTGTCTGCACTCTGGGTTTCTGCCGCCTGTTTTTGGTCAGGGTACTGGGTCTGCTCTTCTTCCTCCGGGTCACCCGCTTCTGTGTTCTGACAGTTTGACTCTTTGCTGGCGTCTCGGCGGGTTTCCACTGAGGCTGGAGGTTTCTTCTTCTTGTTTTTCTTCTTCTTGTTCTTAGTCTTCCTTTGTGGTGAGTCCAAGGCCTCTGCCTGCTGCTCACTCTTCTCTTTGTTGGGTTCTTTTGCATCAAGCGGAGCGTGTTTGGAGTCTGAGCTACCTGGGCCTACTGTGTCCTGATGGCCGCTCTGTCCTATGGGAGCCCCAAGGGTGGCCTGGACTTCTGCCTGGATGGGCTTCTTGTCCCTTACTTTTGTGTCCCCAGCCTTTGTAACAGCATTTTCTCCACCCATCTCAGGCTTAGCTACTCCCTGGGTGAGTTCTCCCTCTGAGCTCAGCCCTACCGCATCATTCATACATCTTCCGTCATGACTCACTGTGTCTTCGCTGTGCTCCAGAGGACCGGAGGCTACTGTATCCACTTGTTCCCCAACTACAGCTCCTCCTGCCTGGACCACCTTCTCCGTGGGGTTTCCACCTGTGCCCCTTGAGTCTGTACAACTCACCCCATCAACTTCAGATGTTTGCCCCAAAACATAGTGTGGACGTGGTTCGAAACTAACTTTTTCCAAATCTGTTTTCAAATCCTCTTCTTTTCCTTTATCCTGATTACCTACAGAGTTTTCACTTTGATTTTTGATACCCAAGGTGGCGGCAGGCCCTGACCCTTCACTGTCTAGACCTCCCAGGCAGTTAGACTGTTCAAAAGAGTTTCTGGTCCCACCATCTGGGTTGTTTGTGACCTCACGTGACTCAATCTGCCCTGGGTTTTTGAGGAAAGAAGTGTTCTCTTGAGCTTGGCTCTGAACCTGCTGTTCACATTTGGCCCCTGGGAGTGGTCCTGGGGACAGAGCGCTGTCTTCAGCGGGTTTCTGGTCCTCAGCATTCTCACTGGGATGTGACACCCCTTTGTCCACACAATCCTTTACTGGGCTGGGTCTGGGCTGCTCTTGCTCAGTATTCTGTAAGGTTCCTCCTGTCCCCACATTCTCCACAATTGCCTTTTCCACCTCCACTTCTTTGGCTTTTCCTAAAAGACCATTGAGAGAATTGAAGGGACCCCATGATGCGGTGGGGACTTAATACATATTAAAATGCAAACACATGTTCTAATTACCACCCAGTTTTCTCCTAGGGGTAGGGAGAGAGAGGGGGGGGAGAGGGAGAGGGAGAGAGAGGGAGACAGGGAGAGAGAGGGAGAGAGAGGGAGGGAGGGAGGGAGAGAGAGAGAGAGGGAGGGAGGGAGAGGGAGAGGGAGAGAGAGGCAGAGAGAGGCAAAGAGAGAGAGGGGGGAGAGGGAGAGAGAGGGAGGGGGAGAGAGGGAGAGAGGGAGAGAGAGGGAGGGAAGGAGGGAGAGAGAGAGACTGGAACCAAGCCTTTGTCAAGTCTATGCGCCAAAGCAGCAATTGCAGAGTTTGTTTTTGATAAGCAAAGGGCCACTGCCACCACCTTCAAGGCCCGAGTGGCTGCTTCCATCTGGGAGGAACTGACTTTTAAAGGTGAGGTTATGATTTAACTGACAGAGAGAGCTGTGGATCAGGCAGGCAGCCACACGAAGGCTTTCAGAAAGGACCCTAGGTCCCCCTTCTGTAATCCTAACTCTAGACGCGCATCTAAATGCTCACACTCTCAGCCACTCAACTCCTATGAATCTCACAGTTCTAACAGCAGCCTTCATGTTTCCTCAAAATAACATTCACTTTCAGGAACTGGCTGGAAAGCCAGTCTCAAGGAAGACGCTTCTAGGGTAAACCCAAGGTCGAAAGCAATCTACGTTCCCCTACCCGTTATTTTCTCCTTTGGAAAATGGTCTCCTACAGGACACATCAGATCTTTCATCCCCAGGGGAGTGATAAAGAACCCCAACAAAGGAAAGCTGAAGATCAAGGTGAATGCTTAACCTATCCATCAAAAACCTTATCAATCAGTCAATAAATCCCCAGCCTATTGGGTATTTATTATCTTATTGGAAGTGAAAGCCTGTCAATCTAAGAATCTTGTAGTCTCTATGGTGGATCACTGATCCCAGGAAAATGGTGGGAAATATCTGGCTTTTATTCAGAGGCAACTTAATGTCACCCTTAAAGATCCTCTACTATTGCACATGTTTAGTGGTATATAGTTCGTGTTAAAGAAACATCAGAAATAGGTAAATTTACAATAAATATACTGGGAAGTTCCCACAGCATTTCACTGATTAGATAGATACTACATCCCAAACCCTTTGGGGCCACTGACAAAAGTGGCATTTCTTCTTCTTTTAGCCATGTCACATGATTATCAGGAATACGTCAACTGTGCATAGAGATAATAGCAGCAGGAGCAGTCCCCTGTGGGGCTGTCCTGGAGGCACGGTGGAAACTATGGATTCTTCCTGTTTCGGCAGCTCGCATACGGACGAGAGCACATTGCTTTGGCAATCAGAAGGGGGAAATGGTCCCGAGAAGCCGGGGCCTACAGGTTTCTACGTGGGCTTCAATGTATACAGTCACAGACTCCCGCCTCATAAAAAACTAGCAACTAGATTTATCCCAAAGCCAGAATTTAAGGCTCGTATTAGTATGTGAATCTTTCTGTCTCTGAAAATTATAGAAAATATTCCTATATCCATTAGATTTCCCAATCGCTTATTCTTATAGAAGCTAAAACTGTGGCATAGAGAGGAAGCCCCCTCTGTATAAGGCGGGTGAACAACAACTCCTGTGAGCACACCCCACTTGCAGCAAGGACCACCCCCAGTGCCAAGGCTGTCTTCCATTCTCAGGATGGGGACAGCAGCTTCAGGGCTGTCATCCCCAGGTGCCATCTGTCCCACTCAGGCACCTTACGCCCTCTCCAAATGCTTGTATGGTGGGTGCCCAAGTGTGCCAGGCTGACAGGAAAATATGGCCAGTGAACCCACTTCACGGCCTCCACTGTTCTGACCTTTGGACAACTCCATTACAGGATTACGTTGACAGTCATAATTGGAATGCATCCAGAGAGAAGTCAAATGGAACGCTCAGCGCTATCACCTGACTTTGAGCCTATCCCCTTCTGCTCAGCCTCGAAAAGCAAAAAAGAAATGTGTCCTTGAGCCATGGGTGGAAAGCGCTACACAAAACGCATGCTGCACAGCACTGTGGGTGATCACATGATTTGGCCGGGACACTACTGTGAAGTGACAGAATGAATGGCATGCCGAGTGACTGTTAACAATCAGTGGCCATCACTCCGATGCCGATGGTGCACAAAGGTGAATCAACGCTGACCACACAGCGAAAGGATCTTACCTAGTGTCCCCTCCCCGGCTGACTTGAGGGCATTCAGCTCCTCCTTTGTCATCTTCGTAGGGGCTTGATGTCCGACGTCATTTAGTGTGTCTGAAGTCTCTCCGTTGGTGGCTATGTCTGAATTTAGGATTATTCCATGTTTCTGCGAGCAAAACAGGGTTAACATAATACTCAGTGAGACCAGGTTAAACTCTGGGGTTTTTTTTGTTTGTTTGTTTTGTTTTGTTTTTTGAGACAGGGTTTCTCTGTGTAGCTTTGTACCTTTCCTGGAACTCACTCTGTAGCCCAGGTGGGCCTCGAACTCACAGAGATCCACCTGCCTCTGCCTCCCGAGTACTGGGATTAAAGGCGTGCACCACCCGGCAAACTCTGTTTTATTAATGATAAAGGGATGCTATTTCCCTTGATGTAGATGCTAACTCCTCAGGGATGGAGAAGTGCCTAGGCACACACTCACAGCTGATTAACAGAGGCAGATCTGCGATGCTTCCTTCTTGTATGTTCCAAAACGCCAGTGGTTCTTAACCTTCCTAATGCTGTGATCCTTTAATGTAATTCCTAAATGTTGTGGTGACCCCCAACCATAAAATTATTTCATTACTACTTCAAAACTGTAATTTTGCTGCTGTTGTGAATCATTGTGTGACTATCTGATAGGTGACCCCTTTGGGGGTCACAACCCACAGGTTGAGAACCTCTGCAATACACACCCTATTTTCTGGTGACAAGATACTTTAAAAAGGCTTTCTTCTAACTAGGGCAATGACTAACCTGTGGGCTGCCACAAAGTGGAACATCAGGAAAGCGAACCTTTCACTATGAAATCTGACCACAGTCTTTAAAAGAGGGAGACCAGGATGAAGACAGGAACACGCAGGAGTTAAGGAAGGACTGAGTGTAGTTTGCCTAGAGATAGCATTTGCAGGTGGTCATGATGCTTCATATCTTCAGAAGGACCACCTGTGCTGAGGACACGGCAACCCCTTGGAAAGCAGCTGCCCACCTCAGTGGCAGAGGACCTCTGCTATCTACTCGGTCCCCCCCACTTTTTTCCCCTGGCTCTTTGGAGACTCCCAGCTGCTGCACACAGCCTGGATGCGGAGCATCACTTAGGTCTTAGCTCTAAGCCTGTCTCCAGACACGTTCCTGCTCTGACTTTGGGGAGATGACACTGACGTGTCTGGGGGCAGTCAGGATGTCGCCAAGGCCACGTCCCTCAGTACTACTACTGCAGCGGTCTGTGAACCCACCGAGAGCTGCCTGCTGGTTTCCCCTGGGCATGGCCCTTACAAAAAGTGAAACCGTTCTTCCTGTGATCTGGCGGGTAAGCTTGATCCCATCCCTCCACATATCCCACATATTGTTCAGCTAAGGAAGTCCTCGGACAAGAGGCTTAAACAAGGAAGCACATACATTCTAACAAGGGTAAGAAAATACTTAGATAAATACCAAACTCAGAGCGACAGCTCTGACCTACTTTCCAGATCTGTTATGGTTGTAAACACCTGATGGTCCCAGGCAGAAGCATGGCCGGGCACTGATATCCTGCTTTGTGGGGATAGCTCACTGAAGGCTCGAATTTATTAACACAACCACAGTGACAACAGCAGAGCCAGCCCCTGTGGCCACAGACACACAGGACTTGGTACTTTGTTTTTCTTTCTTCTTTGTTTTTTTGGGACAGGATCTCTCTGTGTAACCCTGGCTGTCTTGGAACCAGCTCTGTAGACCAGGCTGGCCTCGAACTCACAGAGATCTGCCTGTCTCTGCCTCCCGAGTGCTGGGATTAAAGGGGTGCGCCACCACCGCCCAGCAACCTTGGTGCCTTTCTTAAACTGCACTTTGGTTTCGTACCTTTAACTCCTCTTTCAGCTTGACTGTTTCTTCTCTAAGGTCATCTCGTTCGCTCCGTATGGAATCAAAGAACTCTTTCTGTCTTTCTAATGCCTGAGTGTGCAGCAGAACAGAAAGAGAGAGAGAGAGAGAGAGAGAGAGATGGGGGGGGGGGAGATTAGCACAGACAGCAGGATAAGCAAGAAGTAAAGACTAGGAGGCACTGCCATCCAGGGCATCAGTGAGAAAGGATGCAGCTGGGTTTATGCTAGCTACTGCTAGATCAGCTACTGTTCACACACTAGCATTTCAAAGCAAGGGATGCTGTGGAGGAAGACTGCTTTACAGCATCCATTTCTGTCTTTTGTTTCTTCATTACAGAGCTGGGGACTGAACCAGGGGTCTCACACATGGGAGGCAAGTGGTCTACCACTGAGTCACATCGCCAGGAAATCCCATTACTAGCTCAGTTTTCTTTTCTTCTTTTTGGGGTGGGTGGGTGTTGTTTGTTTGTTTTTGAGATAGGGTCTCACTGTGTAGCCCTGTCTGGCCTGGAACTCGCCCCCATGGTGCTGGGATTAAAGGTGTGTGCCATCACTGCCTGGCACCTGGTCTGTTTTTATCTCCCGACATGGTGCTGGAGAGTTAACAGGAGTCACATAGTCCTTTACACGAGAGATACATGCAGAACAAGACAGGTTGCTAAAGAACCCTACTTTATAATTTTAGACATTTCTGAGTTTCTGTTCACATGCGTGCATGTCTGTGTGCTGTTTCTGTGTATAGTTCAGAGGACAATACCAGGTGTCATTCCTCAAATTCCATCCTCTTTGTTTCATTTTTTTATTTAAAGACAGAGTGTCCCACCGGCCTGGTGGTCCCTGATTAGGCGAGGCTGGCTGGGCAGTGAGCCTTAGGAACGTTCCTATCTCTACACCTCTCCCGCGCCAGGGTTACAAATGTGTGTCACCATGCCTGGTCTGGTGACTAAAGTCAGGTCCTCGTGCTCACACGTTACCAGCAGCCATCTCTCTAGGCTATTTTTAGACATTGATTATGAGCATCTGTTGTCAAAAAAAAAAATGTTCTGGAAGAGCATGTTTGCACACATGCATGTTGCACAATGCATGAACACAGTCTCTTAGCTATGGCTTGTGAGTGTGTCAAAGTGGAATGGTGAGACTTCCCATTGTGAACATTTCCGTGACATGGCAGATCACCTCTAGACCTGTCTCGGGGCCCTGTCACATAGGTTGCTCCTTTTTAGGTACCATGCGCCACTATGAGTCAGCAGTGACTTGGTGGGGGCCAGTCTTCTCATTTATCACTCCTAAATGTGGATGGGCTGTCTCCTCCTCTCTGCTGAGGAGGGAGAGGGGGTCTGATGAGGGCCTCCCTGTGGAGGCTTCCGTGAAGCACGGCACACTGCCACCCACAGCATCACACAACCCCGAGGGAAATCTGGAGTTTGATCCTCCACGTTGAGCTAGCTGCCCAGAGCCTTTCTCCTTGCATGGCGGCCTGCACTGCACCCAGGCCCCTCTGGTGCAGAAGGAAGAGGGAAACAGCTCCCAACTCCCCAGCGACGGTTCCATCCACCCAGGGAAGTGGGGGAGTCACCAGGCTACTCATGTTGCGTCCCATGGGGGTCCCATGCACACCCATGCAAACGTTCTTCCAAACCGAAGCTTCCGCAGGGACCACATTTGCTGCCCCCGGCCCGCCCCCACCCCACCGGCTTTGCGAAGGCTCGAGACTCCTACCCCTATCTTTTTGTCTTTCCACTCTATCGTTTCCTGAAGATCAGAGATCTCCCTGATAAACCCCGCCTGTTTCTGCTGCAGCTGCCGGATTTCCTGAGGAGAGGGACAGACAGAAAGAAAGCAGACACAGCGTTGAGCAGAGAAAAGAAATCAGTGCTAGATGAGCAGGGCGGGGAGGTCTCACCATGCACGGATTCAGCAGCGTGTTAGGATTTTTTTTTTCTCGTTCTACTCTCAGTTCCAGGAAGAGAACCAGCTTGGCTGATAGCTTACCTCAAAGCCATCCCTTACAGTTCTGATTAAGTTAAAGAACAAAAAAAGCAACCCTGTGTAGTCAGTCATGCTTTGCTTACCTGTAGGACAGCAGTCTGAGAAAGTGCAGGGAGGTGAGCTCATCGTTTTGCAAACATCATAAAGTACGAATAATAATGATGGCTGCAATGTCACTAAGCAATATCATCTACGGGACCACTGTCACGTGTCCACTGTTGACCAGAATGCTACATGGCACATTCTTGTGCTGGTTTCCTATGTCCGTGGTAACAAAGGACCACAGCTTTCACGGAATCACATAACCATACTCTCTTAGGTCTGAGACTGTTTTGAAAGAATCTTCTGAGGAGAAGATCAATAAACAGCCTTGTCTTTTCTAGGTCCCAGAGTAATGGTTCTCAACCTGTGGGTTGTGACCATTGGAAAGCACATATATCTAATGGTCTTAGGAACTGAGACACGGCTTAGTATCAAAACCTCAGTTATGAAGTAGCGCTGGAAATACATTTATGGTTGGGGGTTCCTAAGATCATCGGAGATATGTGTTTCCTGATGGCTGCGACCCACAGGTTGAGAACCGCTGTCCTAGACCCTGCCCACATTCTTGCTTTGTACTCCTTCTTCATAAACTCTAACCTCAACTGCTCAACACAGCTCCCACCTCAGCATCTGATGTGGCCCCTCTCGTGGGTACCTTGTATTCCGTCAGAGCCACACAGATGATCAAGGACAACCTTCCATTTTAAGGTCTTTAGCCTCACCTTCGAAATCTCTTTTTTTCCCATATTTACAACTTCTAGAGACTTAGGATGTGAACTTCTCAGAGGTGGGCATTATTTTATCACACCTCCCCAAAACACACACCAGAGCACCAGAGTGAGAATCTTCACCCATGAAAGGAGCTGTCTCCTCAAGGGACGGAAAGTTAGCCTGAACCCTGGATTTTAATCAAAGCTGTAACTTTAGTGATTGCATGAACTGACTCCCTGGCCTCCAAGGTGACTAGTGTTTGGAGGTAAGATCTTCAGTGGTATTAGGATTAAATGGTATCAAGAGGGTGGGTCCCAGAACGGACAGGATAAGTGTCCATATTGAAAGTGTACACTCTCTGCTCTTAAGGACACAACACTGAAGGTGGCCCTCGGTGCCCAACCTTGACCTGGACTTTGATCTATAGAACTGTGAGGAAATATACCCCAGCAGTCAAGGCCACCAAGTCTGTGGAACCTGGGCTACAACAGTGAGGAACCAACAGAAAGGGAAGGAAAGAAAAGGTGTTGCCCACCTCGAGCATTTCTTCCCTCTGCCTCAGGGCTTCTTTGACTTCTGCAAACTGGAACTGCAGGATGCTGTGGGCATGCTTCTCCCTCTCGAATTCCTGTGGATGAGGAACACAGTCCTGAGGCTGCAGCTCAGTGGCGTGTTTCTGCCACAGGGTTCATGTTCTCGTGAGTCACAGTTCCCTCATGACAAACAACCCATTTCCACGTCATTGCGTTTTCCACGGCACACAGTAACACAAACTCATTTCTCTGCTGCCCATAGAGGAAGATCAGTTTCCTCTAAAATTAACCTTTGGATTGTGCACGTTGAGGAGTATTTCCCAATTCCTCTCTCGTTAAGATGCATCCCAGGGTCTCTTTCTAGGGGTCTGTGCTGAAGGCTGGGAATATGCAAGAATGAGTCCCAGTGGATCCTGAAGTACATACATGACCCCCCGTCTCTGGGCTTTGAAGGTATAGTTCCGAAATGGATCACTGTGCCTTTTCCAAATAAGTAGAACTAACAATACAATTTTCCTAAAATCTCCGATGTTTGTAATTAATACCCTACGAAGCTGACATAAAACAAAAGGCAGGAAGTGTATTTTAGCATGAAAATCTGGAAGCATCTAGCCATGCATTATTTAAGTATAACTGTTCTTTCATATACATGCCTTTTCATGGTTGTTTTGTTTTCATGCAAAATACCAACATTCTAGTAAAACCCTCCGGTTTACACATTGAAACTATGCATACTAACATTTCAAATTACTCAGAGGAGAACACAGATTCCTGAGTGAGTTTTAAATGTATATATGTGAATGTGTATTATGTATATGCATGTGTGCCCCTATGTGCACAGGTGTGTGGAAGCCGGAAGCTTACCTTGGGTGTCATTCCTCAGGAGCTGTCTACCTTGGGGTTTTTGTTTTTTCCTTTCAAGGTTGATTTTTATTATTTTTTATTATGTATATGCGTGTGGGTCTGTGCACATGTATGTGGATGCCCACAGAGGCCACAGCCATCGGACCCCCAGGAGCTAGCATTACAGGTGCTGGAGAGTCACCTGACTTAAGTGCTGGGAACCAAACACAGACCCCCTGCAAGACAGTATGCACCCCTAAGCACTGGGCCATCTTTCCAGGCCTGACCTTGGTTTTTGAGAAAGAGATTCTCACCATCAGGAGAGATCTGATTAAGCTAATCTGGCTACCCAGTCAGCACTATGATCCACCTGTCTCTGCCTCCCCAGCACTGGGATTATAAGCACATGCTACCACAGATGCTGAGGACTGAAGTCATGTCTGAATGCTGTGCAGCAAGCGCTTTACAGAGAATTCTCTCCCCGTACCCTTGAGATTGCTTTGTTTGGCCACAGAAGTCTTGTTAAGCAGCCCAAGCCAGTCTTGGACTTGCAATCCTCCTGCCTCAGCCTCCTACATGCTGGGATCATAGGCATGGCCACCACGGATAACAAAGACACAGTATCCTAATTCTCTGACTCTGAGCTTTCTGGACAAGTGGAGAATCACTGTTTTAAAAAATATAAATGCAGGCTGGAGAGATGGCTCAGCAGTTAAGTGCATATTCTGCTCTTGTAGAAGACCTGAGCTCAGTTTCCAGCACCCACGTCAGGCAGCTCACAATTGCCTGGAACTCCAGCTCTAGGAGATCCGACACCCTTCTCTGGCTTCTGCAAGATAGTGTACTCGTGCGCAAACTGCCCCCGTTAGGATTCTGTACATGCGCAGCTCGGGGTCCTGTGTCTCACGTCTTACATCATCAGCAGGCGCTGACGCAATCCCTGCCTTAAAAAAGCCGGACGAGGATCCCCACCCTCTCTCTCTGTTTCCTCTCTGCTCTCTGCTCTGTTCCACTCCCTCCCCCATCTTTCTCTCTCACCAGGCCTGGTCCCCATCCCCACACCTATTTTCCCTCCTAATAAAGCTCTAAAAACTAACATTGGGTTCTGCCGTGGCCTGTGACTTTTCCGCGGGTAACCGGCGCCACCCACCAGCGCTGTTTAACCATCATCCCCCACCCAATAATAGCAAGAATAAAAATCCTTACAAAAATATAAGTACCCTTCATTTACACAGTTCCCCCAGCATTCCCGAGCACGGCGGCACTTACCTTGTTCTTCTCCTCGTACTGTCTCTGAGACTCGGCCAGCTGCTCCTCCAGCTCCAGCAGCATGTCCTTCAGCGTGTCTACCTGGTACATGAAGTTGGTCTTCTCGTTGTCGAGCTGGGCGTTGGAGACCATGGCCTTCTTGTACTTCTCCTCGACTTCGGCCAGCGAGTCCTGCCGATACCAGGCCATCGTTTCCAAATTGAAAAAGGAAAACAAGCCGAGCTTAAGCCAGGGTTCTTTTTACAAGCTCAGCCTTTGTTTCTTAGAGTAGAAGAGACACACACAGTACAGTTTCAGAGGCAGAGCCCAGTTCTCAATGTCCCGTCCACTCAGACAAGTCGCTTTTAGCTGTGGGGGAGAGCGACTGTAGCCTATGGCTTGCCTGTGAGGAATTATGTTAACTAGGCTAATTGAAGTGGGAAGACCCACCCTAACTGTGGGCCATCCCTGGGCTGGAGTCCTGACTTGCAGAGAAATGAGAAAGGGAACAGCAGCACCCACAGCTGTCTGCTTGCTGACTGCACAGGCAACCTGACCAGCTGCTTCATGTTCCTGCCACCAGGACTCCCTGCCACGACAGGCCGTATCCTTGAACCGCGAACCCTTTTCCTTCATGTTGCTTCTGTCGGGGCATTTTGTCACAGCGATAGGAAAAGTAGCTACGGCAGCGATCTATCTTCTCGTTAAGACAAGGAGGTATGTGGGGCGCATATTGCTGGGGGGGGGGCAGCAGCAGAGCCATGGACTCTCTGATTCAGCGGCAGAATCTTTCCACCTTGGGCCCTGGCAGCTCAATGGGTTTCTGAAATCATCACTCAATGTGTGGCTACAGCTCGGGAAAGAGCCAGTTACTATGGCGATAAACCCCTGCCACAAGCCACGGCTAGGCCACCCCGCTCAGGCTTGGGAACCAGGAAAGGATTTGTGGTCATAGCAGATTTCTGACTCATGGGAAATAAAACAAGGTACACAGGTGTTCCTGGGTAGGTCCTGGAAAGACTAAGGTCATTTGTTTGGAAGGGCAGTCATGGGAAAGACGCTGTAAAGATAATATTGACAACGCCCGAACATGGCTCCCACTCTTGTAGGCTCCAAGGTGTGCATGTCAGGAAAGTGATGCCGTCAAGGCAGAGGGGTCAACCACCAGCAGTGAACCACCCGGAGCCTAAGAGAGAGGTGTCGGCTCAAGTGTCAGAGCTGCCCAGAGGCCCTGTGGAATCCTGCACTGGTCTTTGTGGGGGGGCCTGCCCCCACTTTTCCCCCCAGGGTACTCTTGAGCAGGGAGAAGTGAGAAATATTTAAATAGAAATATAGAGGAGACAGACAGATAGAAACACAGGATAGCCTCGGGAGGGCCTGGGTCAAAACCCAACAGTCTCTTCTGTCTCTACAAAGGAGCTTTGAAAGGAATGCCAAGGGGCAGAGCAAAAGACCTCCCCCAGCACAGCCAAGTGCAGACCCTCCCAAACACCTGGTGAAACTCTGTGGGCCCCCACAGTCTTGCTCTGGGTATACACACCATGACAACCAGAGGTGGTACTGCTGGATCCCAGTTGATTCACTGGCTCCATTTTTAGGTGAGTGAAAAGCCAGGGTCTTAATTTTTCCATTATATAGAAATGACCATGAAAATGACGAGTTTGTAAGTGACTTATGCCACCTGTCTGTCTGGTGCTTGTTGCTATGGAGTTTAGATGCTTTCTTAGGCCCTTTCTGGGGAGAGGAAGAAGTGACAGCTCTGTATCCACTGCTGGATCCCAGACTTGCCATGAGCTGTTTGGTGGATATGGCTACCTGTGCCTCGGCACCGCATTGTTAAGGAACTGGGGAGCTACATTCCTGTTGGCATGGCGACGTCCTTCACAGTCTGAGAGCAGTGTATGCACATACGCTCTCAGCTGCTGTAGCCCTAAGTAAAAGTTGACAGCATGCACTAACCCGGAAGCTTCCCATGCACACGGGTTAGGGCAGCTCTAGTGAGCTCGGCAAAGCAAACCAGGAGAAAGACACTTGTATGTCACAACTATGGAGCGTGCAGAGAGCCAAAACTCTCCAGTCTGCGGTGTTTGCAAAATGAGACGTTGGCTCCGAGCCTAGGGCGAGGGTGTTGAGCACCACCCCACATCAGGGGACAGGCCGGTCACCTTTTCCCCTGGGGACTCACTGTGTTCAGAAACTGCATTTGGAAGAAAGCAGATGCACACTGTGTTAGAATTCCCATGCTCCCACACTCTCCACAACTGGTGCCCTTCAGGGTGAGCATGCACATGGGTCCTCTGTGAGGCTCTTTAAAGTTAAGGTGGGTTAGTGTCCCGGGCTCATACGTCCATAAACCGGTACCTTCATCTCTTTCAATCCCTGCATGTATTTGCCTTCTACATCCTGAATCTGGTCCTTTAGCTCATTAAGTTCCTGAGGGAAACGCACAAAAGGCAGACAATGTCAAGGGGGAGGGTCGGCAGAAATCACACGCAGAAATCGCACGCCCCTTCTTATGTCTGGGTCTGTGCCTTGTCTAGGCAGTCTGAGACATGGTTTCCTATTTATTTTACTAGTCGTCAAAGGAAAGTTACTATAAAGATTAAAATTTGCACTTCACACATTTTAATACAATGTTATTAAATTTAAGTGTATCTTGTATTGTTTTATAAACTTTTTTAAAAAAAGAGCAAAACGTTGAGGCTGGAGAGGATGGCTCACTGGTTAAGAGAACTTGCTGCTTTTTCAGAGGACCTGGGTTCGATTACCAGCATCCACAGGGTGACTTACAACCCTTTGCTACTGCAGTTCCAGGGGATCTGGTACTCTATTTTTGTCTCTGTGGGAACCTGGCACACGTGTGGTACACAGGCATACATGGAGGCAGAACATCCATCCACATAAAATAAATAATAAGTAAGTAAATCTTTAAAAAGCAAACCGGGGTCTTCCAGAGGACCCCGGTTTAGTTCCCAGTAACCAAGTCAGGTGGCTGGCTCTATTACCACCGGCAACTCCAGCTTCAGGGGATCCAACACCCTCCTCGGGCCTCTGCGGCCACCGCGCACACTTGTGGCACAGATATACAGACACAGACACACAGAAATAAAATAATAATAATAAACCTTAAGCAACAACACCGAGACACAAGAACTCTGACAGGAGTTTAGCTCCCTGTCTTCCTTCCCCACAGACACAGTGAGCTGCTGGGGGAAATCAGCACATCCCAGTGTCTGCACGCAGAGTCCCCAGTCTCCATCCCAGTTCTCTCCATGTGCCTGGTACCTGGGGACGGATCTGCCACAAACTAGTCTCCTGGTAAACACCTGCCGGGCAAATGAATGGTCCTCATGCCTAAGAGCTGAGTCTAAATAGGACCGGAGTGACTTCCACTTCCAGCCCAGAGAGAAAGCAACAGTGTTGGTTGCTGAGGATGTTAGGGTCCGGTACGTGGCATTTTAGGGGTGACTATCCTGGCTTCATACTGCACTTCAGGTCTACCACCTGCTTCAATCCCTTCTCTGTTCTTCTGGCAAATGCCACGTGGCTGCTTCATCACCACCGGTGGATCTGGTCCCCGGCAACCAGATTTGAGTATGATGAAACTCTCCCACAAAATCCAGCCCTTTCAGACCCTCTGTCTTGCTCTGCTCTCTGAAGGACGCACATTCTGGTCACCCACCCTCCGTTCCTTTCCTGTTTGGGACACAGTTGCTCCAGGTACCTAACAGCACACGCTGCACTGATAATTCACACACGGTGCTGGGCTGTGTGTCTTCCCACATACCGAGGAGGTCACCAAACGTGGCACCATCCTTGGTGTCAAAGGCCTAACGGAGAATAACGTCTGCGTTATCGTAGGAGAAAAATCATCACTAAGATACAGTGGTGAAGTCTACCAAAGACACGCTACTAACAGAAGGGAAAGCACACGTTTCTTGGCAAGGGAAAAGATGTTAGTGGGTGGGCACTTGCTGTGGGCCTGGAACAAGGATATGGGGGTAGATGACCAGAATGTTCCACCATTTAGAACACTCCAGAAAATGAAAAGTGAGTATCTACACGTGCTACCACGTGGTGAAAGATGACGTGGCCTATGGAGAGAATACTGATGGCCACAGAGGACACATATTCCTCCCTTCTTGGGTGCAGGCAGGTAAAGCTTCCCACAGAGATGCTGCCTCAGCTGGGCCAGTGTTAGGAAAAAGCCTTGTTTTCAGGCAGACAGAGGAGATGGGATTGATCTCAAACCTCACAAACTGAATCTCTAAATATGAAGACTAATCAGTCTTCCAAGGGGTTCTGTTAAGTCACAAATGAGAACAGTGTCTTACCTTAATTTCCCTAATGGACGCCTCGGTGTCCATGGAGATGGAGGTATCTCCACTTCCTCTCCGCGAGGAAGTCCCACCCAGAGAAGCCAGCGTGGCAGCCGACAAGCTGGGCATGTTACGGGACCCCTGGAATGAGGGAAGATCAAATGTGATTCAGGAAAACCAAAATTACCAACAAGCCGAACATTTCAAAAGTTCTTTTGTGTGTCCTTTTTAGCGTTCACAGATGATTATTTCTCGTGTGTAAGCGTGTGTGTGTGAGATATGTGTATGTGTAGGTAACAATGTGGAGGCCACAGGGGGCTGCCAAATATCCTATCACTCTCCACTGAATTTCCTTAAGATGGGGTCTCTCACTGAGCCAGAAACATACCAGTTTGTCTAGAGTAGATGGCCAGCCACAGTACTGGGGTTACAGGTATATGTGAACACACCCAGCTTTTTATATGTGTGCTGGGGATTTGAACTCAGGTCCTCATGTCTTAACCACTGAGCCATCTCCCCGGCCTCAGTGCATCTTTTCTTGAACTTAGCTTCTATACTGGACCATCTCCCACCGGCTTCTGGCCAGTGTTAAAAAGACTCATTCAGAGATGTTTCATGGAGATTTGGGGTTTGTGTAGTTAGCAGTGAGCTGTTCTCTGTCCCTCAGATTTCAACACTCACGCCAGACCCCTTTGGAGATATGACGTCACGCTGTGTGGCCCTGGACCCCTTTGGAGATATGACGTCATACTATGTGGCCCTGGACCCCTTCGGAGATATGACGTCACACTGTGTGGCCCACTTAGCAGCTCCGTCAGTCACTTACTTTATTAAACACCAAGTCACTGAGTTCAGTGTCACCCAGGACCCTCTAGGTTAATAACTAACCCGAGACAGAGGCTTGCAGAAATCCCTTACCTTCTCAGTGAAGTCTTTGTCTGGTCTTTCTTCGACCTGTGGAAGAAATGGACAACCGTCAAATATTTCAAAGCACTGAACTGGTCATATGAACTCTGGAGTATGATGCTAAAAAGAAAAAGAAAAGGGAAAAAGAAAAAAAAACGAAAACAACAAAATATTAGGTTGTGCTATAATTTAAAAACTAAAAACAACAACAACAAAACCTAAGACTTGGGCTTTCCCATCTTTCCTGTGTGGAAGTCTCTCTGAGGCTTTCCTCTCCTCAGAGCAGCCTATGAGGCTGAGAGCAGGTGTGTACTGGTGCTGAGCCCCAGGGGAGACACCTGGGGTAGAAGGGCGTGTCTTGGGGACCAAGGCTGAAACAGGCGGAAGGACTGTTCCTTTCTTTCTCAACATCTAAAATGAGATCAAGTTTTGCCCCTGGCCCTCTGGGAAGTCACACAGGTTCAGTGCCGGGCCACCATCAGCAACCATGCTTCCTACCTCAGTCCCAAGTGCTGTTTCCCACAGCTTAGGAGTTCTTAACTTTGATACCAAGAGCATTCACCAAAAATGTCAGTGACAAACACACATATCTCAGATTCACAGATCTGAGTGGCATCGGACACTGTGGACACCTGTGCAGGTTTACAATGGATGGTCTCGAAGTCACCACCATGCTCTGAGATCATAGCTCACAGACAATATGAGTAGGAAACGGTCACTAGTCATAAGACATTCACCTCCAATGTCCATTTCTTTTCTGCGTGTGTCGAATCTAACCAGTCTATGGAAAGGACTCAGAGGTCCTGCTGCTCAGACCCCGTGGACCCACTCACTGCCGCCCATTGCTGATGTGCAGGATAATCACCAGATGTTGTATATTTCCAGATGTGTAATTCATACTGGCTTAACTGTACACTGTGGGGTTGCTAAGGCAGGCCCCAATGGAGACAGTTTTATCTCACTGTCTACGGAGTTGGAGAGCCCTGCTCCATTTTCCTTGGGTGTGAAACATTTTCCTCAGGTATGAATGTAAGTGTGTTCATGAACATGTGTGTGCACGTGAAGACCAGAATCTGACATACAGTGTCTTCTTCATCTCCCCACCTTATTGTTTGAGACAGGGTCTCTCACTGAACCTGGGTTTGCTCATTCAGTGGCCGGCCAGCAGCCTAGGGCTCCTCTTGTGTCCACCTCCCCAGCCTGGGATAACCAGCATGAACCGCAGTGCCTGGATTTTTACATGGGTGCTAGGGATCTGAGAACTCAGGTCACCATGGTGAGCTCCTTACTGACAGAGCCACTGCCTCAGCCACTCTGAGTTTCCAGGATGATTTTGGCAGGAAATGTTCATTCTACCTGGGAATAAAAGTATTTCTGAAATCCTGTTCTGATGAACATTTTGGGCAGCTAAAGAGAAGTAAGGTAGCTGGCACCCACTCTCCTGAGGGATCAATTTATTAACTCCCTTGGGCCCAAAGCCTCATTCCTTAGATGAGTTGGTCTGCAGATGAATATTGATAGCCCAAAGGAGAGAGAGGATACACAGGTCCAGCTCTGCAGCGCTGGGGATGGAACCAATGCCTGGTGTATGGCAGGCCACCACTGTACCACCAAGCCCCACCCGGCCCCCAAAGTCCAGATCAGCAGACTCAGGCTTTCACCTGGAAGGCTGCTGGCTTTTCACTCCTTGGTTAAATACTGTTTTCCCCTGTTCGTTGTCAATAAATATTGTATAGAAAAGATGGAGCTCAGATAGCCAAATGATCGCAAAGATCTATGTCCGCAAGCGAAGGGACGTTCACTAGGAACTGGTACATATATTGCTTTTATAATTCACAAAACATCTAACCAGAAAGACAAAAATTCCAAACCATAGCTTGGCCAGGTGCCGTAGTGAATACCTTTAACCCACCCTCCTCCTTCCCCACAACACAGGAGGCAGAGGCAGAGGCAGAGGCAGAGGCAGGTGGATTTCTGTGAGTCTAAAGTCAGCCTGGTATATGGGGTTAGTTCCAGTCCATCTTGAGTTACATGGCCTCAAAAAAATCCAATAAAACACAAAGCATAGTTTGCTTCTTCCATAATTAAAAAAAGTCTCTTCTTTAATATGATGAATGGAGAATATGAAAAATTGGGGAGTGGGCTGAGGCCATGCAGAGAAAAATAAAAAACTGTTCTCTCAATATAGAGACATGAAATGTGCCCTGCAGCACGTGATTTTGTTTTCAAATTGACAAGGTACATCTATAGTCCAGGCTTTTTGAAACAGGCAGCTGCTGGGGCCCCGTGGGATGTGACGAGGGCCCACAGAGCTGCTGTTCCCACTGACTCCACTAGATGGCAGCCTGTCCAGGTCTGCCTCTGGTCAGGTCTGCCTCAGGTCGTCGGCCCAGAAAGGTGCCAACAGACAGCTGCACCCTTTTCACAAAGCCTCTGACACGAAGGGACACAGTCACAGAGTAACACCAGGCGGTATCCTTCACTCCGATAGAGAACGTGCCACCGTCCCTCTGGAAATAATCTACAAGGAGACAATACACATCCATGGCTGCGGCATGACCCGCTGTGAAGGTTGCCATGGAGACAAGGCCACTAGAGGTGGACACGGAAGAGTGGAACTCAAAGACTGTTGTTATTGGACACAGCAGGCACATGGACAAGCCCCTAGACCTACCAACACTGGCCTTCCCTTCATGGAAAGGGCAAGGGTACCAGGAATCTTGCGACCCACTGAGATTTTGTTTTTTTGTTTTTTAAATCTCTATTCTCCAGCACTCAGTATTTCAGATTAATGTCACACTAACAGAATTCTAAATGATACATGCTAGTCTTTTATAATTACCACTGACTGTATTCAAAGCCATCTTCCAAAATCTACTGGAGCCAGGGGTGGCGGCACATGCCTGTAATTCTGGTACTTGAGAGGCTGAGGCAGGAGGATTGCCATGAGTTTGAGGCCAGGCTGGGCTACAGGGTAAGAACTTGTCTCAATTTTAAGTTTTTTTTCCTCCTGAAAAAAGTCCCCTCTCAGAAATGTCTGTGGGAGAATAGGTCATGGCAGCTCCTCCTTCCCTTCCAAAAGCAGGTCCTTTAGGAGGACATTGGATGTGAGTCCCACCCACGCCACCTCAGCAGGTTTCTTAGGAAGAGCACATGCTGAGGTTTTAAACACCCATTGCACGTCACCGTCCCTCCGCTGGCCCATTCGAAGATAAAGAGACCCAAGCAAGATCTGGCCCAAGAGAGAACCCAGAGAACTCACGGTCCCAACTCCCAGACAGGCCACATCAGACACTGGAACGCCAACAGGGTCCCTGAAGCAATGTCACTGCTACCACATTTGTAAAACAAGTGACACGGCCAACAGCACTCAGGGACACCCACTTAAGGGCCGCGTCCCCTCCAGTGTCGTGACAGTGGCGCTTCCCATCAGGGTGGGAATTTTTGGTTTTGTTACTTATTATTTATTCAGGGTGTACGTGCATGCCATGACATATGTGGAGAAGTCAGGGGACAACTTGTAGGACTCGGGTCTCTCCTTCTATGTGTGTCTTTGGGATCAAACTCACATCATCAGGCCTGGCATCAAACGCCTTCAGCCACTAAGCCACCTCCCTGGCCTAATCGTATTTTTGAGACAGAGTTTATGTAGCTGAGAGTAGCCTGGGATTCACTATGTTAAAATCGTGATGCACCTTTTTCAGCCTCTCTAGTACTGGGAGTACAGTCACGTGTCACCACGCTTGGTGAATCGTTGGTTTTAAATCTACTCCTGTACCCATAGATTCGGGCTTGCTCTCCACCTGGCTCCTGCCTCGCCTCACATCAGGTGAGTCACAAGGGTCTTTGTTTTCGAATGCAAATAGGCAAACAGCTGTGCTCAGCACTTTTCTATGAATACAGGGGACAACAGGAGCCCTGGCTGCATTCAAGACATTCCTGCAGGATGTTGCAGAACCATGGAGGCTCTCCTGGATTCCAGTGGGCTGTGAGACTTAGTCCAGGGAGATGCCCTAGATGTCACCTGGCTCTGCTTGAGTGTGGTTTAAGCCTAGATCTTCAACTCCAGATCCCACCTTTTTCTAAACACCTGCCTTCACAGCTGTTCAGCCGATGTTTATGTTATTTATTTGATGAACATCTTCTTCTGGCCCAGTCTGTGTATCTCATGAAGGGCAAGGGCAGGTAGGTCTATATTGCCTAACACTGTAGACTCATGACCAGAATATTCTAGGTGCTTAATTAACACTGGGTGAACTACAACCTCTTCAAGGAGAAGATTCTGGGCATAAAGGAGAGAAAGAAAACACAGTTCAGTGTGTGTGTGTGTGTGTGTGTGTGTGTGTGTGTGTGTGTGTGTGTGTCCTACTTTTTTCTTTCTGTGGTTTTTCAACCAAAAGCAACTTGGAGAGGAAGTGTTTTCTTTGGCTCACACTCTCCAAGACACAGTCTATCATTGAGGGAAGTCCAGGTGGGAACCCAGAGGTAGGCACCATGTCTAGCTTTCTTATAAAACCCAGGACTGTCTAGGAATGGTACTGCCCACAGTGGGCTGGGCCCTCCTACGGCAGTTAAGAGAATTCCCTTATGGGCGTGTCCACAGGCCCACACGATAAAGACCACTGCTCACCTTTTCAGGTGATTCAGGCTGTGTTAACAGTTAACACTAATTAGGACTGGTGATGGACAGGTGGAATGGATGTGGGGGATGGGGGCTGTGGGAGTGAAGAGAAGGGGGTGGGGAGTGGTGTTAGAATGAGGGGGAACACGGCCATCTGCCCCCTGCATTGGGACTGATGCCTCCTGGCTTTCCCAAGAATTGTATGGTTGGGAACCCCAAGCTTTTGGCCTTGACCCTTGCAATAGTCTATAGATGTGGAGGCACGTTCATGTTCTTAAAGGGGAATGGACGACCACTTCCTTTGTTCTGGTGGCTTCTGCTCTTAGGTGGCACCACCCTGCCCCCAACCTGTAGTACCGCCTCGCTTCCCGTCTGACAGATGTGAGATGCAGAGCCTTGAGTGCCGCAGCTGACTTCTGTATTTTCTTCTCACCCCTGGTGAAGTACTAGGTCAGGGGTATTTTCCAAGAACCAATATGGACACTAACAACTGTGTCGTAATGTGGCTGAGGCAGCAAGAGCCAAGCAGGGGCAAATTACGCCTTCAGGGGGCTGTTCCTTCCAGCTTTAGCTCAAGGCGTTTATATGTCTGCCTACACGTCTCGAGCCAGGAGTGGGAGCTGTGGCATGTGAACCCCGTCTTATAACTCCTGCCTTGCTGTCCATCCTCCTCTGTGTGCCTCCCACAGAGGCCAGAGGGAGGGTCACTGTAGTCCTTGTTTGTCCCAAGGGCAGAGGGTGTCAAACCCAGCATCCTGGTGCCTAAAGAGGCATAAAGAACACTATGCTTTTCTGTGTCCTGGGGCTATTACTCCACGGGAGGGTGGGTGTGTGATTTGGGCTGGCTGTCAAGAGAAAGTGTCTGTGAATGAGTACAGACTTGCTGATGGGAAGAAGCCCAGAAGTTTGTGTTTGGACTTGTGGATCTTCCTGCCTGAGAGGGAGGAGGAGGGTCAGGGCCAGGGCTCTGGGAGAGGGACCTGGCAAAGGCCAGTGACCCTCCCACTGACAGAAGAATCTCCTGGGGCTACCCTACATTTAGAGGTATCGCTGCACCTGAGAACCACACCTGAGAACCACACATAGGTTCCTTGGTCAGTGGACCTGGCTGATGTGAGGTGACAGGATGAGTCGAAAGGCTAGTCTATGTTCCACCCATCTTTGCTCTGACCTTTGCTCACTAAATGAGACAACGGAAAACAATGATCGATGGACCTTTGGGGCAATGACCAGGTTACTAGAGGAGGAAAAAATGTCTACTGATGATCTCTGCAATGGACTTAGCGGGGGGGGGGGGGGGGTGCCCACACCCCAAAGAGATCACTTCCTTTGGCTCACAGGCTACACAGATGTACAATGCACCTCTGTGGAAAAATAACAACCAAACTTGTTTCATGTATGTAAACTTTCCAAAGATCTAGAAAGCACACACACACACACACACACACACACACACACACAGCACAAAGGGATCTGCATCCGACTTCAGTCTTTCCAATCACAGTAACCATGAATTCTGTCATACTATGACTTCATCGTTATACTAAAATAAATCCAAGGGCCATGCCTGGTGATGACAAATAATCCTGCTTTGCCACCCCGGGCTGAAGTTGCTCAGGCAGCCGGAGTGGGGGAATGGTATGGGGGTTGTTGGGAATCTTTGAAAGTAAAAGCTGCAGATTTCTTCTCTTGGTTGCAAACTCTCCACTTACTCCTCAAGGGCACACTCGATTATTATGCACAAGGAAGAGGATTCTACACTAACTCGCCATGGAAAATATTTTGTTCCTAGTAATTTGAAGGCTCCTCATGGATTAGTTTGTATGTGTTATACCACCACAGAGCTCACGACAGCCATTCCAATTTAAAGGACAGACACATAATGGGATGGGGGAGGGGCACCAGGCCACTGAACTGACTCGGTGGAGAGGCTCATAGCTGCAAGGGATCCCACTGGCTCCTCCAGGGGAAGCTGCTTCTGGTAGGAAACCCCACAGTGAACCCATCTGTGTAAGTGGTGTGTCTTGGCTCCCCTGCGTTCTGTGATGGCAGGGACCAATCCTGGGCAACACAGGGTTGGAGAACTGAGTCCCAAACTGTATTTATGTCTGGGAGTTTTCATGTAAGCTGATCAAAAGAGATTGGCCTGGACTGTTTGCACTTTCCACCCACAACTTTCCAAGTGTGGGCCTCCACCCACACCTCTTGCTACAGCCTGGGCTTGTCTCCCCACTCCAGCCAAAACTGTCCAGTCAGGTGTGGTGCTATCTATACACCTGAAACCCCAGCACTTGGGATGTGGAGGCAAGAGGATTAGGAGTTATCTTCAACTACATAGTGAGTTCAAGGCCATCTGGGGCTATGAGACACAAACAGGGGACTGGGGGATAGCTCAGTTGGTAAAGTACTTGCTCTGTAGGCTTGATGAGGACCTGAGGTTGATCCCTAGCATCCATGTTTAAACAAACAAACAAACAAACAAAAAGCCGGCCTGGTGGTGTGCACCTGTGATCCTAGCACTGAGGCAGGAGGATTCTGGGTGTTTGCTGACTAGCCAGCTCAGTCAAAGCAGCAAAAACCAGTGAGAGACTCTGTCTCATAATATTTAGGCAAACAGCAATAGAGGAAGTCAGCAGATATTACCCTTCCCCCCACACACAAACAAAATAAAACAATTTCTTGTTTAGATAATGATAAAGTAGCCTCAAAGGCAGCCACCGATTGATTGGGGGAAACCGTCAAACTGTGTAGGACCTGATGTCGGGGCCTTGGCTCCTCCCGCCATGTCTGGCATGTGGTGAGCCACAAATAGGAGAGCAGGGCCCTAGTGACAGCGTCTATGCAGTTTTTGAACAGATGTGACAACAGGTGACCTAAGAAGAACTGAGAGTGGAGAGGCATTTACAGGCCCATACTTTACTTTAAAACTCGTCTGGTAACCGGCACGGTTTAAAGGCGATGTTAAGTCAAGTCCTTGCGATTTTAAATTGTAAAATACAGCCCATCCACACACGTGGCTACAGTTTTCACCCCCAGAATGGACTTTTCCCTCTCAAGTCTCATTTCTAAGCACCGCTAATAACTTCTCTTCTGTTATGGACCTTCAGAAGTTGAGCAGTGTACCCCTGACACAACCCAACAGCGTCTTCAAAACTCAAAACCATTTCCCAATCCCATTTTTACTAAAACCTGAAATAAAGTGAGCAGCTTCAAGCTTCACCCCACATTGGCTTTCAAAGACAGGGGCCATTTCTAAGGGACAGAAAGGTGAAGGACAAGGGGTGGGAGGTCAGGGAAAAAGGACAGGGAGGCAGAGGAGAAGGAGGAAGGAAGCTGAAGGGTGGCAGGGCCAGGAAGCAGACTTACCACAGGGCTGGCCCGCGCGGAGCTGGCCCTAGAGGAGGCCCGGGAGCTGGAGTTGAGGTGGCCGCTGTACTCTGAGGGCTACGATGGAGCCGCCACAGGATGCAGAGATAGAAACAAAGGAACAGGGTCAGCAAAGAGACAAGGAGAAGGAAAGCCTCCAAGATTGTGCTTCAGTTAGTGTGGAGGTTAGCCACACTCACACACAGCGGAGAGGAAAGACGGGTTAGGGTTAGGGAGCAAACAGGGCTCAGAAAAGGAGTCTGCATCTGCCACAGCATCAGGTAAACATCTACCAGGGATAAAATACAACTGCATTTCCCACAGGGTGCAGCTGCAGGAGAACACCAGGCATCGTTCAACTTCTGTGTGCATCCCGTCTCCTGCGCTCATCTCCTGGGTCTGTGGTGGCAGTTCGTGAGACCCTGTGTATCCCAGCTCAGAAACTAGTAGGAGGAGGGCTGGCATTTCTGAAGGGGAAGTTTGGCTTTTCTGCCACCTTTCCAGGTAGAAACTGGAGGACCTATCTTCTGGGTGTGCCTGTCTAGTTGTCTGTTCAAGCTTTCTAACTCCTGATGAAGGAAAATGACAGCCCCTGCCTGGGCTGTAGCCTCTAAACTTTGGTTTGTATTCAGCCGCCTGCCCTGGGGAAAATGCTAGACGGACCTCTGGGCTGAGAGCCTTCCAAGCGTCATCGCCACTGAAAACTGTAAGGACTCTGGATCTTCAGGGGTGCTATGATGCCATCTAAAGTATCGTTTCTGTCTTCCCACCAGAGAGCCGGCCCCAGTGAGCAGATAAGGCCTGGCACACTTCAGAAACACTTGCTGAATGAAAGAAGAAATGACTCCAGCTCTTCGCTAGCAATGGTCGGAGGGACTGTGCCTCATGCTGCTTCCCGCCCAGTCCCAGGCTCCTGGGTCAGAACACTTCTCAGACCAGCTGGCCTGACTTGACCCTCCTGAAAATCAGCAGCTATATCACGTTTCCCAGGCCCCATGTGACATCTCATGTCCAGAAGTCACTGAGGGTTAAACAAAAGCACCAGGTGTTTTTAAGGGCTGTGGCCAGCATGGTCAGGCCCGCGGAGGCATTCCAACTCCATTTCTTCCCTGGATAAAGACATGTTTACACTCAGGTGTGGGGCATCCAGAGACATAAGGACCATGTCATATTGCTTAAGGACCCTTACTCAGAGCAGTTCTCCGACCAGCTGGACTGCCTTGACCCTTTGGAAGAGAAGCATTCACGTCATCAGGTCGCAAGTGTCACCTGTGCCTGGGAGTCAAGTGGCCCATGGGCAGCTAATTAAGTCAGAAGGCTCTGAGTTTGAATCACAGGATCCTTTGCTCAGGTGGGTGGAAACTCCTTCCAGAGGGTCAAGACTGGGTTGCTACACACAACTAGGAGCCATCTCAGGGTCATCAGGGGACAGTGGCAAGTCCTGCAAAGTGGGACCAGCGTCGTCATAGCAACCCTGGGGGTCTGTCCAACTCCCCCCACCCCTTCTCCTTTCTCAAGTTCGGAAATTCATTACTTGTTCCGTTAGTCGGGAGTTGCAGGGACTGAAGCAGACGAAACCCAACTAAGGCGAGTCTCTGACCTCAGTACGAACTGATGAGTGAGGACATGAAATTAACAAGCAAAGATTTCCTGATTCCATCATCCATGACCTTTATCACAAAGGAAAACACAGACAACGTTTCCTCCTGTGACATCAGTCACCATCCAGCAAACACCCCTGGGTCATGCAGCACACAGTGAGGCATGATGGGAAACATGAAAAGCGCCTTACAGCTCGGGAACCACAGGCGCTTCCCCTCCGAGCCCCATAGAGGCTACTCTCATCCAGCATGGACGCCTGCGACAAGAACAGACTGTCAGGGCAGGAAACGCACTCTTTTTTAAAGGACCACACAGAAAACACTGAAAGGTAAGGTTAGGAAGAGTGACATGTGCCAGGGAGAGGTTCTGGAAAACACCATGCAGGCTCCACATCACCCTCTTCAGCTCTTCAGAGAGCCACAGAGAACAAAAAGGTGCAGAAGTCAAAAGAGAGACGTTTAAGTTGCTGTCAGTTGGCATGCATTTTCACGAAAGCATTGGAGACTGTTATTCTGAAAAATATCCCACATGAGAATTGCCAATCAAGATTGAAAATTGGCAAGCAACTCAAACATCCTGAAGTTCGTCAAAGCATCCTCATACGCCCTGTTTACACAATTATTCTTGTGTGAAGTGGTTTTGGAATGAAACATTACGGTAATTTTCATTTTGATGCTGGATATTTTATATCTCTTCTGAAGCTGCTACACAGAAAACAGTATTTGATTACCTTGAAAACTGTATGCAATTAATCATAGAGAAAGATGTTTACAAGAACTCAGCCAGTAATGTCAAACTCTGTCCCATTTAAAGACACCTGAATTTTCCTTATTCCTCTTCGGAGAATACTGGCTAGGTTAGCCAGGTATACGTACGTACCTAACCCTGAGTGTGCAATGTGGTGGAAATTCACAGTTATCAATACAGTAACTTTGAAAACCTAGTTTACTGCAGAATGTAAGAACCTACATTTAAAACGGGAAATTTCCAAAATTATATAGTCATATGGAAATTTCCAGAGTACTATGGCAATGTGGCTCAGAGTCAGTTACGGCTGTCAGCACACCCAGGAGCCATCTGTCTTTCTGCCAACAGGTAAATGTTGTCACTGTTCCTTCCTAACGACCTTAAACAAGTCTTCCGAGAGATGGAACAGGGCGACAGCTGTTGTCAGGCGTCAGGGAAGAGAAAGCGCGGATCTGACTAAAGGGAACCGGCGGAGACCACAGAGCGTGGGTAAGCTGTGAGCCAAGTGCCGCTTCCCCGGCAGGGCAGGAAACGGGGTTCAGGGCGGCAGAGCATGTGCAACAGGCAGAGGGGAGCATGCACGGCAGGGTGGGGAGCACACGCACCCGGAAACTCCCCGCAGGCCGGGGGGCAGCATTGCACAGAAAGGCGGACTGTGGGAGGAAAGCAAAGGGCAGGCTTTAGACCTTGGGAAAAGAGCGCGGGACAGCAGCATTAAGGCAGCCACGCCATGCCATCTGCCTCTGGTAACTAAGTAACTATAATACAATGGTTAGAAGAAAAAGCCAAAGCTAAGGGATTGTGTTTTCAGGGGACTGGACATATGGAAATCCAAAATTTACAGGAGAGATAAATGATACAATTTCTAACTTTAAAACCACAAACTCCCTCAGCATCTCTGGAATGGGGCTATTATTTTTCAGTCATTCCTTTTGAGGTGTTGCTGGAAGAAGACCTGAAGGGAAGCCAATAGATGGACATAGTCCCCGGGCCAGGTTCAAGGCCACGCAGGCCTCTCATAGCTCAACCTCGTATCTAGGGTTCAGCATTCCTGGGTTCAACCAACCAAGGATCAAAAATATCTGAAAAAAACAAAACAAAAAACCCAACGTGCACTGAACATGGACAGATTCTGCCTGCATCATTCTCTGAACACAGCGCACCAACCATTCCACAACATTTACATATTAGACACCATGAGTAAGCTGGAGATGACTTAAAGTTCATAGGCAGATGTGCGGACACGATGTAAATGCCACATCACTTTATGTGAGGGGCTTGAGTCCCTTTGGATTCTGACATCAAGGAGGACCTTGAACCATCCCCTCGGGTACAGAAAACTACAGAGAGAATAAATATATCAGGGTACGACTGCTTCTGTCAGGGTCACAGCAGCAGTCAAGATACAAAAGGGGGTGTAAGGGAGCTGGCTGCTCAGGGCTGGCATTTCCAGAAGCCCAAGGGGACGCATACTTAGAATACAGAGTAGCACACAGAGCTCTGGGGGGTCGTGCTGGGATGCAGAGGCAGCTCTCTGAGGTACAGGACCTAGCTACAGAGATGGGTCAGGACTTGGTACACACCCGAGGCACAGGGCACAGGAGAGTACAGGGAAAGATGCAGGGCCAAGGGACAGACCTTCCAGCAGCTGAAACTGCCCACAAAGGCGACAGCCAACCTCCAAAAGAGCATGTGCACTGGGATTTCTAACGTGGCGCCCTTATGCTGCAACAGAACTTGCCAGCCCAGAGCAACAAAGGCCCATTTTGGCTGGCCCTGAACCTCGTTCTTGTGAAAACAGGAAAGAGGGAGCGTCAAAGAAATGCTCAGTTCTGTCCACTTCTCCAAGATGCAGGAGGCAATGTGCACAGAGACCTTGTAGGCTGCTTCCTGGACACGTTTACAAAAGAAAAAAAAAACATTTTTTTAAAGCAAATTGGAACTCCAAATGGGGGAACAATTGCTGGAAACGGAGAAACCCAAGAGGCCAATTTTTCTGAACTTGAGGGTTGTTTTGTTTTGTTTTTGAGTATACATTTCACAGAACCCTCCTTCCCCTAAAGTCTCCTTTTCCATATTAGGCCCTAAATTACATTTTTAGGAGATTGAGGAAAGTCTCAGCAAGCTAGCCAAGCCATTCCAAACAGCCCTGAGCCTGGCCTTGTTGACCACACACTGAAGAGGCTGAGGTGTCCTCTAAGGGCACCAGCCACAAAGCGCTTTGCAGAGGAAAGGGCAGAGGAACAGACCCGGGTTCCATTCTGGGTAGACAGGGGCTTGGAAGCAAGGCCACTGCTGGGAAGGCTGAGGTCGGAGCAAAAGTGTCCCTGCAATGAAAGAAAACAGTCAAGTCGGGTCAGGTGGGTGGGGAGGTGTGAAATCACTCCATCTCACGGGTGGATTAGGGCTGGAGACACACGGAAAACAGCCTGACACTATCACAGCATCAGCACGCATTCGCTGGGCAGGAGGGAAAGAGAGTTAGGGGAACATTAGTGGACAGAACCAGAATGACCCCATCAGACTGACTTAGGACTTTCAGTCAGTGCGTGTGTGCACGACACACACACACACACACACACACACACACACACACACACACACACACACACACACACGGGGAGGGGATTGATTTTAACCAACAACAAGATCTAGTGGTTTTAGTCTTTGTAATTGGACTTCTAAATTTACAGGGACCCCAGCTTCTGCTTAGGAATAGCTATTTCACTGGGGATGGTCTCTGGTCTCACCCCTCTGGTTGGACATTACATTATAAGAATGAATCAGGCAGGCACACTGGCAGGCCGAGTATCAGGATCCCAAGATCCAGTCTGGAGATCGTTGTTTTATGTCTGAAGGGGCCAGCTCTAATTCTGACCTTTAACTCTTAGGGTGCAGATTCCTTCTGTTAAATTTAGAGTTGAGTTGGACATGGGCTCTGTTTCAGCTGGGTATTGCCTTTAATTCATTAGGGACTTTCGTCTCCTCTTTACTTTTTTAATTTAATAAGATTTATTTTATGTGTTTGAGGGTTTTGCATGAATATATGAAAGTGCCTGGTCTATGTGGAGGCTAGATGAAGGCACTGGATACTCTGAAATAGGAGTTACAGATGGCTGGGAGCCGCCATGTGGGTCCTGGGAACCGAACCCAGGTCCCCTGCAAGAGCAGCCAGTGCTCTTAACCACTGAGCCATCTCCCCAGCGCCTTCTCTTTGTTCTTTAAGGTTTACACCCGTTCTGACGACAGTGCTGGGGAAAGAAGTCTCACTTTCATCCCATTGACTGTGATACTGGGACCCAGCGGTAAAGACTCAGGAGTACCCATCCTGCGGCTTATGTGGGCCCACTCAGTTCTCCACCTACCCAAACTGGTTCCTTGGCTCGGTTAGTAGATGAACCTTAACTAGGATATGCCAGCCCCAGCTGGTAGGACTCTTCAATAAACAGAAATCACCTGCCCAGGTCAATGCACATGAGTGTACACAGATAGCTGGACTGGACTGGATTTTCATGCCAAGGCCACACCATCCCTGACAAAGTACCACGAAGTGTGTAGCGCCTAGAGAGTATCATTGTTTTCAGAAAGAAGGTGAGAAGATCCAGGCTTTTAATTTTTCCCCCTTTGGATCAGACAATATACACAAGCATGCCATTGGTTCACTCACGGTAGTTGGCTGCATGTGACAATTTATGTTAAACACAGGACAGTGGTGAGTCTGAATGAAGTAGCACATGTTAATTACTCCTCACAGAACATCCATTCCAAGTGGAAACTTGTAAAATAGGCTGGGGGAGAAGAAGGGATCCCACACACAAGGGTGCATGCTACAAAACCTGCAGTTTCTGTAGAGAGGATGGGAAAGATTTAAATGGGAACCAACCAACTTCTCCTCCCTGGAGGACGACAAAGCGGAGAATCTGCCATCGCCGCCGCCGCCGCCGCCGCCACTGTAGCTGGAATTCTGAGCACCAGAGAAGGAGAGTTTGTGAGTGGTGAGTGCTTCCTTTTCCTGCCCATTCACAAGACAAGCACAGGCACACCAGTGCTGGGACCCGGGAACCCTGGTTCACCTGAAGAATTTGCAGCATAAATTCCTAGCAAGTGAGTCTAGATGTCTTAGATGTGAGCCTTCTGAGTCTCAGGGCTTACACATCTCAGACTTAAATGTGAGCCTTTCACGTCTCAGAGCTAGATGGCTTAGATGTGAGCCTTTCACATCTCAGAGCTAGATGGCTTAGATGTGAGCCTTTCACAGAGTCTCAGAGCTCTGCCCCCATGAAGCTGAGTGCTCTATTATTAGCCAGTTGCTTACTGACTCAACTCTCCTCTTTGCATATCTCCTTAGGTAATTAAAATTCTTTCTATTGCAATAACTTCAGCCTTTCTCCAGCCTAGCCCAGCCCCTAGATGCAGAGAGGCACGGGGAGGCTGAGAACCAGCTTCCACCTCTGCAATGGAGGCACCTGGCGTCGAGCATGCGCTGGCATCGCGCATGCACTGTACAGCATCAGGTCAAAGAGACTGTGGGAGAGGTGACATCGCACAGGAGGTAACATGACACACAGAGGCACGGATCAAGTCACTAAGCTGGGAGGAGACGGACATTCCCAAGCTCTTATCAGACAGGGCTCTGGTTCATTTACACCTGCGAAGCTCCTCTATCCTGTCTACTCTTTCCTCCAGAGTGCCCCACATGTGACTTAGATGAAGGTTATTTTGTTCTTCAGTCATGTGACTCTCCCTGGCTACTTGCTAGACCGATTTTACATCCAGTTTCACTCCGTGAGCCGTTTTAGAATCAGTATTTGACTTGCAGAGGCATTGCCGAAACCCTAACTAAATCATAAAGGGCATTTGTACTGGACATAGGTATGGCGCAGCCTGATGTCACAGATGGGTTGATGAGTTCACATCACATGTGTAGAGAGAAGTGTTAACACTGAAGGAAGTTGGCTCTAAGAACTCCCAAACAACTTTAGTTATAGCAAAACCGGGGGGGGGGGGGCACAGCCAGTCAACATTGGGAAACATTGCCGCTCTTATCACTTATGCTGGTGGCCAGCTCTGCAGGCTCGCTGGGCACAGTTGGCTGACACCACTGAAGGGCATGCACAGGGCAGTGACTGTCCCTGGAGTGCCGAGCGGCCTTAAAGACTCAGCAGGTGTCAGTGTGAAGGCGACAGAAGACCTCAACTAGGAGGTCTCTGAAGTCTGGAGCTAGCCAAGCTTGAGAGGGGTCACAGAAAAAGCACAGGTAACTCTCAACAGGTCTGAGAAGGCTCAAGCAACCTGTTCGGCCAGTTTGGGAAAGCCGAAACTGTTGGCTCAGTGTGTGTGTGTGTGTGTGTGTGTTCTGAAGCCTGGAAAAATGGAATTGAAGTGACTAAATGCTATCTTAATATAATTAAAATAGATTAAATTTTACACAAGAAACTTATTACCAGGAGGGGGAAAATGACATTAAGGACAGGAAGGTATTAGGTCGTTTAACTCAAGATTAATCTATTTGGATCACGAGGCTTAATTAATATGTGTCCAATTTAACCTTCTGAGATGTCCAACAGCTACAGCCTTGACAGACCCCAGACCTTGCCCAGGCTCTGGCCCTCTCTGTCTCTTGTGTACTGCTCTGGCTTCTTCGCTAGCATGCCTGCCTCTCACCCTCAACACGAGCACTGAAGACGGCAGAATTCTGCCCTCTTCCCTTCCCTCTCCTCGTCAGAGAAGTGCAGGCTCTCACACGCGCATCTTTAAGATAAAGATTAACATGGCCGGCTTGAAATGCGGAGAATTGAAAATGGTGGGCTTCCATCCATGTGAGCCGACTCACCCACAGACACACACGTGAGGGCAATAAACAGTGGACAAGCTAATTCTGCTCTCTGGGTATTTTTAGGAATGCTTATCAGCCTTTTAGCTTAACATCTAGAATCCGAATCATGCTAAGAATGCTTGAATACTAACATTCTGAGAATGTTAGAGTGTGTTATTGGGGGGTGGGGGAGCCAGGGTAATACAAAAAGAGCAAAGTAACTAAATTGAGCAATATAATTTAGACACGTTGAAGCAGCATCCCGAGAGCACGTGCCATGCATGGTTGCTGTACTAACCCTGCCAGATCTTCTACTTAGGGACTGGGATCCGCAATAGTCTCCATCATAACCGTTAGTCTGTTTCAACAAAGAGAGAAGAGGTCACATCAGTGTAAAGAACAGCACAGGTAGAAACCAGAGAGCCACAGTTATCCACGAATACACTGAGCCTTCTCTGCAGCCAAGAGAAGCAGAAAGCCTGGCCACCCCCAAACTGCCAGCATGCTCCTACCCCACTTCAACTCAGAAAAAGCCTGTCAAACATGGCACCACTGGCATTCCCTCCTGTGAGTGAGGCACATGGCCTGACGTAGCTGTTTTTCTGGGCAGTTTTTATGGTGCACACGTACGCGTGTGTGTGTGTGTGTGTGTGTGTGTGTGTGTGTGTGTGTGTGTGTGTGTAATCTTGTGTCCAATCTTAGGATTACTGCTGTGGAAACTCTAGATTTCAAGAAGGCTGAACGCCAGGCCAGAGGGTAGTGACCCCCCCAGTTAGACCAGATATGTAGCCCTAATGAAGCTGTGCCCCTAAGATTTGGAATAGGGTTTATGTAACCTGTAACTAGTCCTATAACATGTAACCTATTTACTAGTCCAGGAGGAAGGATTAGGAAACCTTCAGGAGTCACATTTCAGTCACCCACTCTTTCAATTGTGTTTTTCTAGATAAGACAGGAATATAAACTTAATGATGTTATCATTTGTCCTCTAGGAAGAAACCAAACCAAATCATCCAGAAGGCTGGACATACTAAAGGTTTGCCTGGCTCCCTTGCTCCCCCTAAGCCAAGGCAGGGCCATTTAAAAGTGCTCTGCTGCAGCTATAGGGAATGGTCCATTTTACTGCAGAAAGGAACGATGTATGAGGAAATGGCTCTTGATTCAAGGTAAGGACCACCAGAGACCGAAGCAGCTTCAAAGGCGGGAAAAGGCAGAGTGGCCTCACATCTGGTCAAGATGGAAAGGGATTTATCTGTCTCGAGCCTGAAAGGCTCTAACTGCAAATGCAAGGTCTGCCCTGTGTCCTTAGGCAGGTTATTCAATCCACCTGCACTTCCACAGCCATGGCAGTATGCACAGAAATGAAAAAATTACAGGGCCATGGTGAGGGGCACAGGAGTGTCAGTGAGCCTCCTGGATGCCCACATTAGCCTCTGGGGGCACCTGATGGTCACACCAGTGGGTAGGAGGCTTGGCTTTGGAAGGGCTTGGCACTGGGGGATCCTCACTCCAGGGTAGCAGGGCCATGCTTAGCCCATACTGGATAGTCATGACATTGATGTAGGATAAGTAACTGATGGGCAGACTTTTAACTCCAGAGTTATAGAACCTTCATTATAAACATATGCTTACTTTTGCTACAACTCAAAAAAAAAATTCAAAGTTTCTAAGTGAAACAGGAACATGCAAAAAGCCTTCCACATGAAATCTGAAAACCACAAGAAGCCATAAAAACACTTCTAAAATGTGTTTAATGTTAAAACCGTTTGGAGACTGGCAGAATGGACTGCTGCCATGCAGCTACAAAGCACGGGTACTCTCAACCTGGCTGTGTGGTGCCAGCTGTCAGCCTTTCTGATGGACAATGTTTGTTGTTTGTTTCTCCAAGTAAGACACAGGGCACACTCAGAGTTCATTAAAATGGGAAACAAAACAAGAAAGGTTAGCTGAAACTTGTGAGTGGCATACTTGATGCATTCAAATTAATTTTATAAAGAAAAGACATAGGCCAGGCGGTGGTGGTGCACACCTTTAATGCCAACACTCCGGAGAGAGAGGCAGGCATTGGATCTCTGTGAGTTCGAGGCCAGCCTGGTCTACAGAGTGAGTTCTAGGACAGCCAGGGCTACACAAAGAAACCCTGTCTCAAAAAAAAAAAAGAAAAAAGAAAAGAAAAAACACTTTGAAATGAAATCCAAAATGCCCCTGGCCACTGCTAAAATTCACAGGTAGCCCAAGGACCAGCCCTCGAAATTGAGTTTAAAATATAAAGGATGATGTCTGGAAATGGTTCAAATGCCTTTGGTTCCTTACAGGTCTGAAGAACTGCTGGTTTCACCGCATGACCGTGGCAGTGCTCTGTGGACAGGGAACAGGCACTGGCGGGCACACCCTGAGTCTCAGGCCTTGTCCTGCGCTTCCTCCTTGCCGGCTTGCCTCACCAGGCTAGGACGGTTGCAGTAGCTCAGTGTGTGAGGTGGGGTGAGAGTTAACATGCTCAGCTCTGTGGGGACCCTGGGGGATCAAGCATGCTCAGCCGACACATGGCACTATTTATTAATGATTGCCACTAAATATAAAGGTAAATTTTCCAGATAATTTTGAAATGGACAATACATGAAGCCCAGGGGCTCTGAGATTTAAAAAAACAAAAAACAAAAAACAAAACACCTGTGAAGTCCCAGAGACGAGGCTACAGATTTGGAAAAGCCATCGAAGAATTCTTTTGGGTGTAAACTGTCCACATTTCCAGAGCACAGAAGGCATTGGGACTCTCAGATAGAAGACATTTCCAGGGCTTTATTTTTGTTGCTGGAACTGGAGTCTTCTTCAAAGGTTATTTTCCCAGCAAAAGAGCCAGCTGGTACTATCAATTTGAATGGTTACAGATCAGGAAAATAGTTTAAGTCAAATGATCTCTTCACACTTAAGTCTTTTAAAGGACACAGAGAGGCCCTGGGAATTCTTGGTCTGGTGGGTCTTTTGAAGAACCTATGGTGGGTGGCCAACAGCCGATACTCAGCACCCGCTAGTGAGTGGGACCCAGGCACTGCCGTCCAGGGTTTAGGGTCCCATCCACAGGCCAGGAGGCAGGGGGAGGAGGATGACCATTCTAGAGGAAGCCATGCTCTCCTGACCTCATGGTGCCCTGGGGGAAGACTGGCAGATGCACTTTGGAAAAGCACCCAGGAAGTTAGTAAAAACAGCACAGCTATCATCTGGCACTGCACACAGGGTCACACAGCAAAACTATCTGACCACCTCACCCAGGCATAGGGACTCCCATACTCCGGCTCAGGCTGGGCCTGTTGGCAGAAGGTGGAAGAGGAAAACAGAAATTGGAGTGCCAGAGGTAAGTCAGAGCTAAGCAAACACAGAGGCGAAACCAGGCCACCTTTAAAATCTTAACAGAAACACATTTCCCATGACTCCTAACGTCTTGCTCAAAAGAGATACATTTATCAGAATGATAGCCATCATAAAATCTAAGAACATTAAAGTGCTTCTATGCACCAGTTGTTTAGTTCACGAAACACAAAACCATTTGGATCTTACTCCTTCTTGACATAGATATGATCTAATTAAATTAGGGAAAGGTCTAGAGATGTACCATTGCCAGATTTTAAATAAAGATAATTAAAACCTTACGATAACCCCCAATCTTGATTTCCCCAGGGGACCACGCATGCTGATCCCAGGATGGTAACTACCCCTCCAGGCCTTCAGGGCTTATCATCATAGCCAGGGCAATAGAGAAGGCATGTTTGGGGAGTTGAGAAAGAAACCATCTTTGGAATTTGCAAAGTAAAGGCTTCAGAATATTCAAATATATTAAGCGGCATCATCTGGCCTCCGTGGACACAGAGTGAGATGTGAGTCCACTCAGCAGGGTTGCCAGATGTCCTTCTTTGCTGTACCAACCAGCAGGGGACAGAGCTTTGGGCACCTGACAGGTGTGAAAGTCTCTAGGGGATCAGGAGCTGGCACTGGCACTGTGACCTCAAACGGACCCCTAAATACTCTAGGCTTGTTCCACACCAATAAGAACAGCAGGTTTGACTCTTATTTCCAGGACCCCAGCTCTCAAATCTGGATTTCTTTTTTTTAAAGAGTCTAGTTCTTTGAAAAAAAATAAACAAACTAGTTTTTGGGGTGGTGGCATGTACCACAGTGTAAGTGAAACTCAGAGGGCAACTTTCAGAAATCAGCTCTCACTTTCCAGCATGTGGGTCCCAGGGATCGAACTAAGGTCGTCAGGCCCAGTGGCACAGGCCTTTAGTTTCTAAAGTACACTGTGGGAGAGTCGTGTAGCACATGGAGGCCGACAGTGAAATTCACTGACTTCCTCCCATTCTCCTCTTCGGCTTGCTAACTGTGGACCTCCTGTGTGAAACTTCAGAGCTCAGAACAGATACACTGGAATCTGACAGAGATGTCCTGCATGAAGACTCAATTCACTAGAGGTTAATGTGGAAGGTGAATGGATACTACAACCTTTATGAATGTTGAAACTACCGTAAACTCTTTGGAACCAGGGCACCCCTCCCCACCCCCAAGAATCTTAAGATGGTTAAATCCCTCCCTGGGGAACCCTAGGGTCCACAGGTCTGAAGATGACACATTGTCCCGGAGATCTGGCTTCTGCCTCCCTCTCCCGCCTGTTCCGTCTCCCATCCCTGTTCTTCGGCTTCCTTCCTGCCATGTCTGGGAAAAGCTCTCTTGCAAAGCCACCATCGGGAGGCCATATCCAAGGGTCAGCTCTCGGTTCTGTCCTTCCCCGTCCCTCCCCTCATCCCCAACTGTTCTTCCTCCCCTTGGTTTCAAGGGCTGGACCTTTGGCACCGCCCACGACTGCAATGCCTGGGCCTGGCCACAGATGTTGCAAGTTGAGCTTGTACTTGTATTCTGCTTGCATAAATCTTGCTTCCTCTAAAGCAGATCGTGCCTGAGGGGCCTGTGAGGAAGTTGCAGCTGCATCATGAAAGACACTCAGCAGAAACTTCCCAGCTGCAAGGTGTCACTTCACATGTCACTGTCCAGCAAAACCACTCAGGGTCTGCTCTTAATGCTAGGATGACAGGGACAGTGATGGTGGCGTTATTGTTACATGTCAAGTGAAGGGGTAATACTGTGTGACCTAACTGTCACGGCAATGATAAGCCAACCCTCAGCTCTATAAAGTCCCTTAGCAAACCAGAGTGGCTGCTGCTTGGAGACCTGGTTATTAGAGTAGCGAGATCCCAGGTCAGCCCTGCAGCCAATCGAATGGACACGCTTACTAAGCTAAAGCCCAAGCATTCTGCTTCGTTCCCCAGAGCGCGCACACTTTCTTCTAATGGTTACAAAGGCTGTGTTTATTAGCCACAAAGCTGTCAGTGAAGAGCTTGTCGTTCAATAGTAGAGCACTCGCCCAGTTTGGGTGAAGTTCTGGATCCAGTCCCGAGCACTGCCGAGAAGAGCCTTCATCATAACTGGCTGGAAGGCTCGGGATGGTGAAGGTCACAGCCTTCTCTCCAGGGAGCCTCCAGCAGTTGCAGAAAAATCGTAAGTAACTTATGGCTACTCCTGGGTGTGTTTTCACACACATGTATTGTATGTGGAAGCTAGTGAACAACCCTAGATGTCGTTCCCCAGGAATGCCCTCTATCTTTTTTTTTTTTTGAGACATGGTCTCTCACTGGCCTGGAACTTACTAAGTAAGGCTAAACTAGGTAGCCAGTCAGCTTCACTAATTGCCCCCTCAAACTGGGATTATGAGCGCACACCACCACACATGGCTTTCTTCACATGAGTTGTGGGGATGGAACTCGGGTCCTCATTGACCACCTGAACTATTTCCCCAGTCCAACCGACAGCTGGTTTAACCAAGGCTGGCTTTCCTGGAGAGTGTGTGGGAAAGGGGGCAAGCCATGTGTCTGCAATGCCATGTGTCTTCATGTTCTAGGCCATCATACCAGCAACTCTGAGGCAATCTACAAGTTTTGTAGTTTCACGTTCTGGAAAAATTTTTAAAAAATGATGCCTTCCACTCTTTGGGAACTCACAAGTAACACCCCACCCTCTCCCCAGTCCAGCCCGGCCGGCCCTTGGTTCACTTATACACAAGCATTTCGTCAGTTAGGTGGGGACCAGCAGGGGAGAGGGGTGATAATCTAAGGACTGAAAGCAGAGGTGGGAAACCAAGGCTCTCGCCCACACGAGGTGTGCCATGCAGAAGCAATCATGCCGTTACTGACCCTTAGGCTGCCACGACTACCCACGGACAAGCGCTCGTCTTCATCAGAAGCCTAGTAAAAGACAGGATGAGAATACAACCGTGAACTGGACTGGGAAGAACCTGCTGACCCGACTCCACAGCAGTGGGTGGACCAGCCACCCCGAGAGCTCAGAGGATGCGAGCCTAGGCTCTCAGTATGCCTCAGTTTGCCTGAGACTGGTTATGGAAACATAGTATGTCACAGGTAGCTTTTAAGGAGGGTTATTAATAAGACTCAATGATTATAAAAATTATTTATGGACATTTAACAGCAACAATAAGTATTAACACTGTTGTGAATAATATATTAATAATAATATTTAAACATTTCCAAACAGGACCGGAGATACAGTTTAGTAGTGGTAGAGTGCCTAAACTTGCATGAGGCCCTGGGTTCAATATCCAGGCTTTTAAAAATCCCAAACACAATTTCTTTACATAATTTAGCCCCAAATGCTGAAGGCTGAGTTATGGTCTTTATTCAGGTAAAGATAGTTTATCACCAATGGCAACTCTCTCTCTAGCACTGTGTCCATTTCAGCCACTAGAGGAACAAATCAGCCTCCTCCGCCAACTCGTCCCTGGCAGTGAAGGAGCGTGGTACTGACCGATGGGTTTCTCCGGAATCTACGAGAGTAGCGCTCGCTGTCTTCCTACCGAAGCAAAGGGAATGGCAGAGATACGTTAGAGAAAGCAGGGCCGAGTCCTTAGAAACCCCAGGAGGTCCTGCTGCCCCAGAATCCAGCACTTCTGACCTACACGGCAAATCAGCATTTTCTCTGCTTCTGTTTAAAGGGTCTAAGTAAAGGACTGTGGGAAAGAGCTCCTTGGGAGAGGTCCTTAGGAACACAAATAACTGGCATAGTTCGTGGCTTTAAAAGCAGTGAGCAAGCGCTGGGGCAGAGACGAAGCCTTGCTTTTTTTGTAGCCCCACAATCTGGTTTCACATCAACTCCCTTCCCCTTCGGACTGACTCTCCTCCGGGAAGTGATTTCCCCAGAGAACCCCAATGTGGATGCCACCCAGCTTGCTTTATGGGCTCCAGGACAAACAGGTTTTTGCATGGTTGTCTCTGAAGCAGGAGTGGGAGGCACGGAGTTGCTCACAACTGACTAGCAGCTTTCCATTCTTTCCAAGTGGCCATCTTTTAACTGTCCTTAAGATTTGATGAGAAGACACATACCTCAGGGGATGTACAATACAGTGACAGTTAACACAGGCTGACCATGGTGAGTTTTTCAATAGCTATTTATATCACTCATGGCGACTAAGATGGTAGAGGTGGCCTTGATCTCCCTCAAGCTGTTTAATGGTGAGGAGGCTTGCTGAGGACATTTCCAGGTCTCCAATGCCAAAAACATGGGAAAGTCCAGGACAGCAGCCAGGACATGAAGAGGCGGGTGTCTTAATAAGACTAAAGCTTTGCTCTGGGATCACTGGAAAGCACCAGAGGGTGCCCTGCCCAGAGCCTTGCGACATGGGCACCTCTCCTGAGAGGCCTGAGGGCAGGTAGGCTCTCTGGGGTTGAGCTAGTCCTTGGCTGCCCTGGGAAGGCAGACAGATTTCTTAAAGAAAACAGGTAGAGAGGGGAGGGAGGAAGGGATTTTTCTCAAGAGTAGGGGTTTCCATGGGCACAGAGGAGCCAACAGCGAGAGTGAGTGAGGAGAGTGAGTAGTTTGGGGATAGGGTGGGGGTGGGGGTGGTGATAGGGTAGCTGGCTGTCCATGAAGAAGGCAAACAGTCTAGGGCCTCTTCTGGTTCTAACCAGAAGAGTGAGATGTTCTGATGATAACATGAGGTTCTCTGGAAAGTTCTTGCACAAGGGCACATGCCTAGCCCGTCCCTGGGGATCTTCTGATGCAGAGAACTGGGGGAGCCGTGGAGACAGAGCCTCGCACGACACCAGCCTGCAGACATCAGCAGTCCCCTTCTGCAGAGGGACAGGTCACACGCCTGACCAGGCCGTTTCTAACAACACCACACCAGATGCAGAAATGCCCTCGAGAAGACCTCCGAGGATCAAATTACAGTGCAAGAGGAATCTACTGGCATAATTAAACTGCAGTCAGAATTAAATTATAAACCATTTAAGTCTTAAAATTATATTCAAGGCCTACCATCCACTGCTCGATGTCGCCCCATTTTGTATCCAGCCCATAATATTTCTATAGACAGAAGGGAAAGAAAATTAGGCAAGAAGTAAACAATAAGGGCATAAGGAACTGTCCCGCCATGCCCTCCCGCCCGCAATCACTTTTGGGGGCAGCATGCCAGGCGCAGTGGCCGCAGAACTGGGGTCTGCAGAGAAGCCATTTCCTGAGCGTTGATGCAGCGGCCTGAGATGAGGCCTCCTTCCCTGCAGGCCCCCTCAGAGTCCAGAGGGAAACACTCATAAGGCGGGGTGGCCTCTTAAGACGTCAGGAAAGCAACCTCTGCAAGGCCGTTCACAGCTTTGGGGCACACTTGCTGTCCAGGAGCACACGGAGAGCCATCCCATGCTGCGGCCCCAGGAAGGGGCCCCAGAGGAGGGAGGGAGGAGCAAGCGCTGCTGTGCTGAGCCCGCTTCCAGCTGCATGTTGCTGCTGCCTGACAGCTGTACCAGGGGCAGGTGGGAGAAGCCACCTCTGCTGGCAGATGTCTGAGACCTACAGAGCAGGCCTTTGGGTAGGAAGAGGTTGCAGCTACCAGCTCCAGGTTTTACCCACCTACCGTAAGCCATGGTGGTCCAAATCAGATTGAACGAAGTAGGTCAAAACGGCTGCTTCTATCACTAGAGTGTTCCCCAGGTTAGATGAGAACCTGGGCTTGCCAACCGGCTTGGCATTGTTCCTTATCCCCCCCCCCCCCCCCAGTTTCCAGTAAGAAAATCAAGGAACAGAAAACCAAACCTCTAGGACGTCACATTTTACACACTTCAAGCTGACAATCAGAAATATAAAACTGGGTGCCCGAAATACGGGGACATTTTAGAACAGTTTTCTAATCACTCAAACATGCTGTGGTTATTGTGTTTGGTTTAGTTTCACCTTGAAGGAGGGCCGGATTTCAGATTTCATGGCCCTGTCCCTTCCTCAGAGAGATGTTGGTAAGTAGAAAACCAAAAGAGGAGAAATTAGAACCTCACACAGTCTTGAAAAGCCAAGCATGTCAAGCTAGTGCAAAAAGCCACACAAGCAACCTTTTCCGCTAAGTAATGTGCAAAAGCCACATCTGTGTAGAACAGCGGTTCTCAACCCGTGGGTCGCACATCAGATATCCTGCATACCAGATATTTGCATGACATTCATAACAGTAGCGAAATGACAGTTTTGAAGCAGCAACAGAATAATGTTATGGGTGGGGGACACCACAGCGTTAGGAACGTTGAGAACCACTGGTTCAGAAGGTTCTGCAGGGTGCTGACCCATTAGAGGGTTGTGATTGTGGAGATCAAAAGCCAAAATTATCTTTGCTGTCTATAGTTCTCATGGAAGCTACCAATCATCCACCTCTCTCTGCTCCCATATCCTTTGACAGCTGACGTCTTTGGAATGTATTAACTCAGTGTACCTAGCTTCCACCAAACCAAAACCTAGGATTATCAGCTAGTGCCTAAAACCCATCGTGAGATTTCTCTTCTCTGCTCTAGGCCGCCTACTTGATTTCCCTACCAATGTATATGGAAAAAGGCCTTGGTTCATGACTTACTTTTGTAACTCTAAACAGTTGAAGTATTGGGGGGCAACCCAAATCCCTGGCCATGGTCATTCATTTCTGGCTCTGAGTAAACTCTCTCTTATTCCCCATTGGAGTGAGAGCTGGGGTTTTTTGTTTGTTTGTTTGTTTTTGTTTTTGTTTTTTTTACATCAATACTGATTTCCATAGAATACTCATTTGTAAAGGAAATCAAACACTTTGCCAAAGAGTCCAAGTCACATTTTAATTACAATTCCAGCGAATGCCTTGTGTTAAGACCTCTTCTGCATTCAGCTAATGCTAGCTCCACCCTTACCTATGACATCCGGATCCTAATTTGTGTGTAACATATGGCGTCTTTGTTTCTGTCTGACTTTTAGTTAACAAGACAGGAGGGAGCCAGGCTGAGGCACAAGGTGCTTGACTTTGAGAAACAGCCTTGGGCACGAAGAAACTAATTGACCCAATGGCCACAGGACCAGGAGAGACCGCTCTCCATCTCCTGTCCTCATCATAAACTTGAGTGTTAAGGAAAGTCTCCCCTCGGACGCTTTTGTACAAACTGTGGTGAGTTTCTGGAGCTCCCCCAGTGTGCCCTGCACCTGAGCGTGATCACAACTGTCAGTTCTCACAACACATCTCAGGCCTGTCGGCAAAAATTCAACCATGAGCTGGACAGGAAAAAGTAGAATGTGGGGAAATGACCAGATCCAGCTCCTTTCCTGAGTTCGGGGCAGCAATGTCCTGCAGCATGACTGTCCATCGGGGCTTCCCAGCCTTACCGGAACCTGTCTGGGATTCTAGAAGACGGAACTCTGTCTTCAGTATCCATCCCCATATTGGATGCTAGGACCATGAACAGTGTGCCTACAGATTCTGCTGGCTACCCACTGGGCCTTTCTGCCTCTTCAGGAGAGGAGATTTCCCAGTGGAGACAGGATGGCTTAGGCTGAGGGTCATCAAACTGAGCTCAGGATTACATGTAGCAGGCTCTGAGGCTTACCGGTGATATCTGTGTGCTCTGAACTCTGAGAGTCTGTGTTCTTACTCTGACTTACCACTTTAAAAGGAAGACACAGCTATCCTAGTTAGAAACTAAACAAGTTCAGGAAAGAACACAAGCTCTCCCACAGGAAAGGCTCACACATAGGAAAGGCTCACCGAGCCCCATAACCTCTCTCAGGGGCCAGTTGCACCCCACTCGGTCACGGCTTAGCTGCAAGTCCCTGGAGAGCCGGCTCTCAGTACATCTGCTCATTGTCCTTGCTTCTAAGCCCCAGCGGCTGTCACGAAATGGAGAAGGACATTAGCCTATGATGCTCTAGTGCTGAGCGGGGACAACAGCTGGATTTTGTCCCTATACCTTTCTTTAAATTAAAACTTTTGATTAATCTGTAATATTTTTAAACAATCTATAACCTCCAATAATCTATAATCTTTTGCTATCTTCTTACCTCTAGATTTTTATTCTTTTCTGCCCTGAAACTTACAACTTGTGATCCTCTGTCTTAGCCTCCCAAGTGTTAGGGCTACCACACCTAGCCTAATAACCAATTCCTCCATCTATCATCCATCCATCCATCTATCATCTATCTATCTATCTATCTATCTATCTATCTATCTATCTATCTATCTATCTATCTTCTATCATCTATCATCTATCTATCTATCTACCTATCTATCTCCTTCCCTCCATTTCTTTGAGAAGGGTCTCACTGTGTATGTAGATCAGACTGGCCTCCAAACAACCACATAATCCCAGCATAGCCTTAAACTTGCAGTGGTCTTCCTGCCTCTGCCTCCTAAATGCTAGGATTAGAGAAGTCTGCTACTACACTCAGCACAACAATGTCTTAATATGTGGCAATTTACACTGGCATTTTTAAGGTGACTTATAATAAAGTCATCTGGCCAGGGGGGGGGGGAGATCCTTTATCTTTTAATGTACAATTTTAAAAGCTTCCTCCAATTCTAAAATGTGGTTTGTGTTAGAATTTTTTTTTCTCCCTCAGAGACAACTTTCCAATTCCTTGAGGCAAAAGGATCAAGAGTTGTGTTCAATGCATGGCTGCTGCCTTGTGTGGAAGAGACTCGCTAACCAGGCAGGTAGACAGAGGTGGCGGTGAGCGCGGCAAGCAGGGTGGTCAGCGCATGGCATTGTTCTGCAGGGGACAAGGCCTCGGTGAGGGGAAAGCGCACATGCAGAGTAGAAACGAAGGCCAGAGCCTACCTTTTGGACTTGATAGATCTACAGGAAAGGGAGAAAGGGAAAGGGGAAGAGATAGAAAATGCAGTTAAAATTGCAGTAACCATTCAGAAAGGTTCCGTAACAACCAGAAGTATGAATGAACACTGTGCTGCAGGAAAAACAAAGATTACTGATTAAATATGAAGAGAAAACGTATTAAGTCCCACTTCTTCATTCATTCTGTGATGATGGCTGATGGTCGCTTCCCGCCAGGGTCTGCAGAACCCACTGTTACCTAACGCAGAGTATGCACGGCCTATTGCCGCAACAGGACATAGGAATTAAAGGCATCTTTTCAGACTTTAAAGGATATGGGACACACAGGGAAGAAGGCTCAGAGGAAGTAGTAGGAAGGGCATGAGGGGGGCATGGCAGGGGATTCTGATCAAAGTGCATCATATATACATGTATGAAAATGCACAAGAATAAACATCAAATTACCTTTAAAAGGAAAACTGCTTTTCACACTAGTAAATGTTTCACCAGAAAGTGTACAGTTTTAAGTAGGAAATTGAGTGGTCAGATTCAGAAACGATTATTAAAGAGGCTTTAGCATCCTGGCCCATGCAGATTTATAGGAAAGAATAGCAAGAACACTCCAGCAAAACAGTCCAGCCATGGGAATGTGCTGAAATACAAAAGGGGCTCCCTCTCCCCAACAGAGTGGTTCTCATCAGAACCTTCTCTTAATTTCACACTCATCATGAAGACATAGATACTTGTATTCATTGGGCAAGCCATGGGTTGTATAGGGCGTTGTTAAGGACATGGGCCTAGAAATTGGGCACTTTTCTTCACATGGGAAAACACAGGTAAATACAGTCAGCATTCAACTATAATAAATGCAGCATCTCTAACCGAAATGGTTATCCAGTCAGTGACATTAAGAGAGACGCTTATTTCAATCAGTTCAAGCTTTCCTGTGAAGTTCAAGGAGCCCTATGACTTCCCAAGAAGTGCCTATCTAGTATTCTCATCTGGAAAGCCCACGAAAAAGGAGTTCAGATCCACTCAAGCAGCCTCAAAGCACAGCTCGAGGATGTTGTAGTTGACTCTTGCCATCCATGAGGCTGACAAGTCTTCACCAGGGATCCCTAGAACCCCCTGGGTCTGGATACAGCTCATGGTCCTGACCTGGTGGCAGACCTGCACCCCAACACGGCTGCCTTTCCCATCTTCGCTCTCTGTACACTCTGCAAGCTCTCCTGGGGGACCCCACTTCTAGCCACCAGCTTGAGGCCTCCTCATCCAGGCTGCCTTGGCTCTGACCCCTTCGTCTGGGAAAGCCATTCCTGTTCAGCAGTAGCATGGGTAGGAGAAAGCAAGGATCGTGTTTCCCAGTTTTATACCAAAATACCAACCCTACTGGCTAAGCACTGGCTGTCCAAAGCATATTCATTTCTCCTTAATCAACAACTTAAAATGCCAGTGCCCTGGGCTGTCGGATGGTATGAGCTCAAGTTGGGCTCGCTGCTTCTAATAATAGCCAGGACTGAGAAGACAGGTCTGCAGGGGGCTGCGGTGTCGCTTGGGCTGCGAGCTGCTCTCACTCCCTCTTCTCTGCAGACTTGTCCCCTGACACCTGTGCATCCGCACATTGCTTCTCTTCCTATGCAGTTCCTGACATCAGCTCTGCCTGAGGAATTCTGCCTCAGATGCAGCAAAGAGGAGATATTTGGTGTTCAAGGCCAAATATCCTTCTGTTCAAAAAAGAAAAAAAAAATCCTAAGGACTCACTCAATTTCCTCTTAGCTGTGGATGCTGCTAACTCCGCCCAGAGATTCAACCACGAATCTGTCGGAGCTTTTAACGTAATCGCGCACATATGCCAATCAGCGCTACTCATCAGTAAGAACGAATGTAGTTTACTGTGTTGCTTAGTAGATGCATGTACACATACTCTATAACTCACTTCCACCTTGATTTCTGTAGGATTTTACATCTTGGTGAAAGTCACTCGGGACACCAAGCTCACTAACAGGCATGAGCACAACGTGGAGCCAACTCCCGGGCTCACTGCATCCCACTGCGCTCAGTCCTTGGTTTGTCTCTAACAAGAGCTGACACCGACAGCTGTGAGGAGCGTCATGCACTGAAAGGACAGTGGGCCATGAAGTGCAGCAATTAACCCCCGGAACTGGCAGAGCAGCAAAGCACCTTGGGAATTTTCTCAGACTGCTGGTGCTGGTGCTGGGACTCAGTGGGGGAGTGAGTGCCTAGTATACATGAGGTCCCAGGTTCAATCCCCACTACTGCCTAAAGGAGAAGGACGGAAGGAAGGAAGGAAGGAAGGAAGGAAGGAAGGAAGGAAGGAAGGAAGGAAAGAAAGAAAGAAGGAAGGAAGGAAGGAAGGAAGGAAGGAAGGAAAGAAGGAAAGAAAGAAAGAAAGAAAGAAAGAAAGAAAGAAAGAAAGAAAGAAAGAAAGAAAGAAAGAAAGAAAGAAAGAAAGAGAAAGGAAGACAGAACCAGGGTAAGCTGACAGTGGGTGAGCCTAAGCCGGGCATAGCAGCCATGGAGGCAGCTCCCACGGGGCTGCTGGCTCTGCTGATGACAGGAGCTGTCCTCTGTAACTGGGATGCATCCTAAGAAACAGCAGTCCCCAACTTCAGAGCTTCCTGCCTGCTCATCCCACCACCCTGTGGCTCCCAGAGTCAATGGGCGGGGCCAGCAGGGTCCTACACACAGTGGTCCACAAGTGTCTATTAAACGGACAGAAAAGTTTCACAGAGAAAATGATACCAGGCGGTCTGAGAAACAACTGGGACTTGGTCATTACAAATAAAATAAAATAAAAAAATAAAAATTCAGTTCCAAATAAACTACCCAGTATGTATGCCAGAGTCAGGTGAGCCAAGGAGCTCTAGTTGGGACGGTCTCCTGGGCGGCGCTGGCTCAGAGGTGGGGTGCGGCATGACAGTGACCTACAAAGCAGAGTCACCTTTTCCTAGTCTCCACTTGTGGGTCCAGACATTTGTCTCTGGCGAGTTTCCTGAAATCGCTTCCTGGTGGGAGCATCCTGACTGACAGGTGTTCGCCGGGTTCTGATTCCCCTTAAGCCCACCTCACCCTTGACCAAGAGACTGGGGAAGGAGGCACCTCAGTTAATTCAAAGGCCTGGCAATCACGGTTCATCTGGGAAAAAGCCCAAATAATTAACCCCCCAAAACCAGGAACGCCTATTTTCTGATTTTGAAAAGATAAACCTGCTTATTAGAAAGGAGACAGATGCTTCTCCAGACAACTAAGAGAAAAAAAATATTACAACACATACACACACCAAAGTACCAACTTCTAAATGTAAAATAACAAAGATTAGAGCATATTGCACTTTTTTTATTTTATTAACATTTGCAACCAGAATGGAAGACAGTGAGCCACCTTCTGAAACTGGTTGAATTTTTGCTCACAGCACAGCACACAGGAGACGCTTGCCAAAGTCACTTCCTGATCGCCGCAGAACAGGGTGCGGTCCCCTCATGGTGGCGAATGCCCTGACCCACCTTCCCCTCCCACTGGGGTTCTGGTACCCTTTGGCTGAGCCAGGAGGCCAGGGCTCCCAGTACTGTATGGCCACCCACACACCGCCTGGAAGTTTCCTTCCCCAAATCAAGTCTGGCCTCACCCCCTCTTCTGCTGGCATATTTCTCCCTGGGGTGGCAAAGTCCCCAGACAGGGAGGGACAGTGAACATCACAGTCTAGTGGCCCAGCTGTCCCTAGAGAGCACATGACAGCTTTGGGCCTGGCTGGAAAGAGGGGAGGAATACACAGTGGGCTCAAGAGAAACAGGAAATGAGAACTTCCATCTGAAGTTGCACCATGGTGAACATGGGCTGGGCTCCATGAACAGAACCGGAACCTGTCTGTGAAGGACCACTGCTTACTACTGCCCAACACATTCAAACCTCCTTAATGGGCAAGCCCTGCAGTGCGGGGCTGGAGCGAACGCTCAGGAAGGGTTCCCTGGCACGGTTGTGGAGCAGCCAGCAACCTAACAACCTAACGCACTTAAAGAGCCCGCACGCCGGCTGCTGGAAAGGAATTCTGATTCAAGGTTTTAAAAGCAACAGCAGATAAGATGAAGGGGTGTGGGCACCTATGACCACTCTGGTCCCCTGGAGGACATTTGTTCGCGTGACTACTTATCCACAATGCTCACCCTGTTCTTCATACCGATATATACGCCTCAGGGAAAACATTTTTTTTTTTAAATGAAAGAAGTTGGCCAATTAAATAAAAAAAATAAAAGGACTCTGATCTTTTCTGGTTCTAACTGAGAGGATCCAGACCCTAACCCCATTGTTAGACAGAAGCCAAAAACCCAGTTTTCTCCAGCCCTTCTCAGCTAGAAAACCGGCCTGGAAACTCACTGCTAACAGGTAAGTTCACAGGCTGTGCGCTTTCTCTCAGGCCTCCGGTTGGGCAAGCATGCCTGGCACCCACACTACGTGCACTCTGGGCCGAACCTAGAACAAAACCCACAGGGCACACCCACAGGGCACACCCACAGGGCACACTCACAGGGCACGCGCATTCCAAGCAGGAGCGACGCACAGGTGACAGAGAAGGGAACAGGTGCTCAGCAGCAGCAGGTGCTCTGCCTTCACGTCCTAACACACCTCAGAGAGAGAACCAACCACGAGCCCCCGGCCTCCATTACCTCCTTCTGCTGCCGCTCCAGCTCCTTCATGCGGATCTCTCGAGCCTCGGCACGGGCTGCACGCTTCGCTGCAAGCCTGGCTTCCGCCTGAAACAGACCCAGAAACCTTATTAGAGAACAGACCAGGCACCTTCTGGGTACATAGTTAATGACACTGTGCAGAGAAAGCCTTGTTTAGAGCTTAACAAGCATACAGTGCTGATTCACAGATGCACTCGAGAGGCAGGGTTGTCAGGAGTGGGAAGAACAGTGGCTGGGAGCCCAGGAGCTCCTCCCTTACCAGTTAACTGGGGTCCACCGAAGCTCAAAAACATGTTAAGGAAATTTTCAGAAACAAATAATTCCTGTGTTTTTAAAAATGTGCAATGCTGATCAAATGCATGATCGAATCCAGCGCCATTTTGTTCCATCTTGCTCAAACGTTGACTCCCAGAGTTTCCACGTCTTATGCACTATCTCTCACTCCAGCAACAGCCAGCACTTGTATTGGGGTTATGCTCATTTCACTTAGCAATGGCCCCAAAGCACATGGGTTGTGATTCTGACAGTTTCCATATGTCCAAGAAGAGCTTAGAAGTACTTCCTTTTAATAAAGAGGTGACAGTTCCTGACTCAAAAAGGAAAGGATAATCATATGCTAAGATTGCCATGGTGCATTGTTAATGTTCTACTGTGCCCAGTTTAGAAATAAAGTTATGTCATAGGTACACGTGTCTAAGAAACACAGTCGGACAGAGTTTGCTATCACCTGCCGTCTCCTGAGGACAGGGGGTGACTGTTGAACCCTCACTAAATGCCAAGGGAGCGCTGTTCTAAGTACTTCATTCCACTCCTAGACCCGGCTCAGTGCCAGGCAGCCCTGCAGGGCTCCAGTCTGGTGGCCTCATAGAGAGATCTACTCTTGCGACTCCTGCCCGGTCCCTCAGGCCTACCCTGATGCCCTATGACTCCCCTCCCCTCCGCAGTGAGGGGAGCTCAGGTTCTCCCCAGGTGGCCGAGAGCACAGTGGAGTGCTCTCAGTGGAGGACTCTGGATGGTAGAGTCAGTCCTGGCATTAAAAGGACTATCTTCATCTAACAATCTTTAGGCCCCCAGCGGATCAGCCACCAGAACACAGTTGACTATGTCAACCAAGGGGTCACAGATGGCATTTTGACCCTGCTGTATGATGACAGAGCATGGGAATGCTCTTATCTCATGCAACCCAGAAGCCGGGGAGGTAAAAGGCAGAATGTTCTAGAATTCAGGCTCTCTGGTGTCAAGTCCCGCCTTCTTGGCAGGTGAGTTCCTTTGATAAACAGTCAATAATTCTTCTACCCACAGCTCTGGAGTTTTGTAATGTCTCATGTTCCCTAGGTCATTTTAATACAGCACTTTCCGGACCCAGCTAGCTAGTGGAGCCAGCCAGAAGCAAGAGCAGAAGCATGTTTGGATTTCTGAGCTGCATACTCACACTAGGAGATAGGTCCTGGTGGCTGACCTGAATACTGCCTCCCTGACCACACACACACACACACACACAGACACACACACACAGACACACACACACACACACACACACACACACACACACACACACACACACAATCCCAGAAGACAAACTGATCCTTCCTTTTCTCTTCCCTCTCTCCTTTTTATTTTTTCACTTTTTGATTCTTTGAAAAGACAAGGTCCTGCTATCTACATAGCCCAGGCCAGCCTCAAATTCACCATCCTCCTGCCTCAGCCCTGGCACCTTCTGCCATGCTAGGATTTCAGGAGCTCACTATCACCTTATTTCAAGAGCTCACCACCACCATGGCTGGCCCTGGTCTCTTTCAATTCTAATGAAAGTTGACTACTAAGATGAATCACAAGGGATTTCTTTCCAGCTTTCAAGGAATTGACTCTGTAACAGATTTTGCTTGTGTGGTCCCTTATCAGTCCAAGTCCATGTCTTTCAAATCAAAGGGCATCCAACACCGCAAGCTGAGGGTGAGGCTGGAGCTGGGGTGGGAGCACAGAGGTTAAGTGCTGCCCCATCATGGCTGTATCAGAACTCTGGCACTTGGTGTCATTTTAAAGGTTCCACACCAGTTACATGTCCTAAATGGGTACTTGAGGTCTGCAAGAAGAACCCAGGGCTCGAGAGAAAGGGTGAGGGAGGCTCTTTACATTCAAGACCTACCCTCAGGTGAGAAGGCACACGACCCTGGGCCTGTTTGGTTCCCTTCTAAGAAGGCAGAGGCTAGGCAAGAGTTTTGACAACAGTATTAGCCCATCGGCTTGGACGAGGAGGAACAGGGAAGGGTTTATGGAAAGAGCCAGGAGAAAGGTATGAGCACCAGATGGGGCAGGAGAGAGGAATGTAGCTGACAGACTTCTAGAAAGGCCTACAGGTTCTAGGAGGGTCCCCAGAACTCTGCTGACGATGCTGGTATAGATACCCTGTATCTATTCCATCTGTATAGTTTCCTCCCCTTGAGTGTGTATGTGGGGAGTTGTGAACATGATGATGTCTTTCCTGTCACTAGGTAACATTATATGGCAGGAAGGACTATACAGATTAAAGGCTTTCATCAGCTGACCTTGAGCTGAGCAAGAAGCATATACTTGGGGGGCTTTGACGAGGCCTCTAAGACAGTTTGGGGAAATCTTTTGCTGGTCTTGAAAAAACTTGATGCCATATAAGAGAGGCTTGTGAGGGGAATCTCAAGAGCTGTGAGTAGCCCCCAGGTGACAGTCAGCAGGAACAGGGGCCACCATTCTATAACCTCCAAGAAAGTGAAGGTTCTGGAACCACAAATGAGCTCAGAAAAGGATCCTGGGGTCCAGAAGGACCTAACTTGGCTAACTACTGTTGACAGCCTGTAAAACCTGAGCAGAGGTCCTAGCAAAGAGAGACCCACACACCTGACCCCAGAGCTGTGAAGTCACAAGATGAACGTTAGTCAAAGCTGCGAGTCTCTGAGGATTTATTACATACCAACAGATGACCTTGCTTCTGGGATGACTTGTTGGCCTCCTCTGAGCTGGGGATGTTGAGTACCTCATACACATTCCATGCCAGGATGTGTGGCTAGCCCCTCACCCTAGCTGGACTAATTCTTGGCACCGGGCCAAAGTCCCTAAATGGGGTTCACACACTTGAACTTGTAGAGCCTGTCACAAGAACGCCCCCCTTGGGACACAGTTCTCCCGTTGTGGTCCATCTTAGCCCAACATGCTCTCTGTCCTTGAGGGCAGTCGTGCTAAAAACCGTAAAGCCACCAGTCCTGCCTTGAGACGTCGAGGCACGGGCTGACAAAGGAGCCACATGAATGAAGTCTGTTATGTGCCAGCTCTTCCTGATATCAAGTTTTAGAAGCTTAGTTTGTAATTCAATACAGCTCCAGGTCCTTGTAAACTCCACCATTCACGACACCCACGTCTCTTACACTGCTCACATGACTTGTGGGGAGACAGAGCCTCACAGTACAGGAAGTGATGGCAATCATCTTGTTTCCTGGAACCTGCCCAACCAAACACCAGCAGACAGAGGAGCCGAACACTGACACGGATCCAAACCCTACATGTGACTGTGCATGTCTTCGTAAGACAAAGCCTGCACTCAGTGGAGCTCACTCTAGCTCTGAGGCCCGCAGTCAGTGCTGCAGCAGCATGCTTCATCCTATTCAGACACCCTGCCAAGAAGAGCACCACACAGACAGGAAGGAGCTGGAGGATGACGGGCATGCATATGGTCTCTGTGGAGTCACCAGGGAAGGCTGGATGTGACCAAGTTGTGAAATGAACTGATGTCTGAAGCAACCAAGGTCCATCAGGTGGCACCCAGGCTCAAGGTTCATCCCCAGTGCACAGGGCAAAGCCCAGGTCTGTCCTCAATGTGCCAACTGACCAGGTGGTTCTCGGGGTCAGCCGCCTTGGGCAGGTACTCCTGAGGTATGCTTTCCTGGGCAGCTGCTTTGCCAAAATACAAAACCATTGTGTGAGGTCACGGATGGATTTTAAAACTCTGCAAGCACATCCTTCCACTTGCTGCCCTTGGCCTGTTGGGGACTAGGGACAGTTTCCTGAGGAGCATTGGCAGGGACCTGCTGCCTCTCCTCCAGAGGCCCGACCCACCGGGGCTTTACAAGCCCCCTGCATGCCGGTGCTTGCCCAAGGGTAGGGACATTGCTGTGTGGGAGTACAAGTATGCTTTGGGATATTTGACCCTTTTCAGTAGGTAGGAAGTTGGGGAAGGAAGGGGTGGGGCACAAACCCCAAACCCGAGGTCACTGGCTGCTGGGAAGCAAACATGGTTGTGTTGATTGCTCTAGAAACCGTCCAGGTGTAGACCCATCCTGGCTCCTCAGCTTGGTTCATGGGCAGGGCACTGAGGTGGAGGGTGTCAGGACCAGGCTCCTGTGACAAACCACAGGCTTGCTAGCTTCTTGGGGACTGCCAGAGCTGCTGGTTCAGGATGTGAGTTTCCTCTCCCCTTCTATGGTCCATGGCTGGCATTCCCCTAGCTGCTGTGGGCCCTGGCCTGGGAGCCTATAAACAGCTTTTACAGGCTGGGCTTTTAAAGCAAGGCACTCCTTGGGGTGGGGACAGCTGGAAAGGGCCCCTAGATCACCAAAGTTGCCTATGACAATTCCACAATGCTGATCCTCTGACTCCAGACTCCCCTTTACACACCATAAACCATCCTCAAATCCAAGAGTACGCCCACCTAGATGAGACATACAGTCCAAGAACACATCCACCCTGGTGACACACACAATCCATGGACACACCCATCATGGGTGAGACACACATATCCAAGGACACACCCACCCTGGGTAAGAAGGATGGCAAGGAGAGCCACAGAGAAGCACAAGTTTGACCCAATGCCTCAGGTCTCCCACCTACTGTCCCCAATGCCAACCCCACAGCTTGCTGCAGGGTCCCTTGGCCAAGTGTCCAGTGCACTGGCCAACTGCAGAAGTAATTTCTACTGAAATGCCTTCTGTGGGCTATACAGCCATATGTGTGACAGTCCGGGGGACAGGCTGGCAAAGGCTTCAGCGAGCTGTTTGAGAAGTCAGTGGGATGTCTTGACTATCAGTAAAGTATGCACTGGG